CATTTTCTCATATTTTCCCCGTTGTTTGCTTCAAGCACTCCCCAGCCGAGCTAAGGGCACCACAATCTGTTCTGCTCCCGCCGAGACGAATTGTGCAAGATGCCTGGGGGCGACTGTCCTCCCATCATATGACGTGACAAGATCCGATCCAGTCAGATCCTATATTCAACCAGGGTTTCATGTGGGAGCTATGATACTGTGGATGGGCCAGCAAAATCTGATAAACCACCAAACGGATTGTTGAAACCCGACACAAAAATAATGGGGTGTTTACCATCTATCAACTGGTGATTCGGATTTCGCTGGCCCATCCACAGTATACCAGAAGATGTTGGTTTCTTGATCCATTGATAGATGACCATCTATCCATTATAAACATTTATAAACCATCCATTTATATTGGATTAGCTATGATATCATTGATATATTGGATGGGATTGGAAGATCCCTCCACCTTGCAGGCGAAAAAAAAAGGGGCCGCAAGGTGGATGAACATGATCAGCCGTTTTTTCGGTCACCCTGCTGCTTGAACATATAGCTTAGCTTCTATAGTATGTATATATATATATCCTATATCTATATCTATATCTATGTCTATGTCTATATCTATATCTATATCTATCTATCTATCTATCTATCTAATGGATAGTCATTATGGATCTTACACACCATTCACCGCTCCAGAGCTCCAAATTCAGACATCTTCTTTCCCATGAGCATTACCAGGTGCCAGGGCATCAAATTTCAGACGAGGTCAAGCTGACTCCTGAGAGAAACATCGCGGAGAAAGGCTGGTATATGCTGGTATGATCAATGGCCATTTTAGGAACCTAAATTGGAGGTACCTAACATATATAAGGCCTATGTAAGGGCTATGTAAGGGGATATACCCCCAAAATATGGACTTATATGGTACAGTACCTCCATTTTAGGATCCTGGAATTCCCATTGATATGGGGTATGGGGTATGATGGGGATGGCTATGGGGAATGGGGGGGATGGGCTGGAGATACATGTAGAGATACTAATCAGTATTTTTTTCAAATCCCATCAACCAATGGCTATGGAAGGAACATCAGCTTAAACACATGATAAAACTTGATCAAACCATGTTATGCGCCAAACACACCCAAAATCATGTTAAGCATTATGTATTTTTTGTTCCGCAAGTTACAAGGGCTCCACTTTTTTCCAGGTTGAATGTTGAGTTGGCCAGAAAGTGTTATCCATCCCCTACGCCAATCCCTGGCCAAAAACGGGCTTCCCTTGACCCATGTTGTGTCCTTGCTATTGGATTGAGGGTGGTGCCATCTTTTTACGCAGTGCCGGAAAGTCTATCCAAACACTGCACATAATATGCTGTGCAATGGTGTGCATATACTAAGTTCAAAGGAGAAAATCTGCAAATATGGCAAAAAGTACTGTGGATGGAAGAAATCCTGCACCGATTGATAGGTGGTTTATCCCATTAATTTCAGTGGTTTTTACTATCGGTGGTGCCGTACATCTGTCCACACAAGATTTCACCCTCCAGTTCACTGGATCGATCTGGGGCCCATCAAGACGTAAGAAATGTTCTCGGCCCTTTCGTAAATGATCTCAATCTATAGTTGAGAATACCCATTTCATGGTGGTCGTTTTTTATCCAGAATTCTTGGGAGGTCTTACTGTATTCATAATTAAAAATATCAGTGCGATATATGATATATATATATATATCGATCTATAATCCCCATTTCACCCCAAATCGTCCCCATCCATTAGATCTTCAAAAATTGATGGTTCAGAAATGTTCAGAATCCAACTTTTTGAACCCAATTTCGCCCAGCATCCCCAAGTCACCATTTTTATGGCTATGTTTACCATCCCCAAATGATATGTTTATGGAGTTTATGGCACTGAGTTTACCACATTTGGCATTCGCATCGGTCAAAATTCGCTGACCACGGCTCCTGACTTCACGTCTCATCGGCGAAACTGTCCCTGGCGCTGGAAAGATGAACGGGACAAGTTGCAGTGAACGGAAAGCCTCCTTGGTTACTAGGATTTCCCACTTCGTGGACTGTGATAATCCACAATAATATATAAGGGTAGCATAAGCCAATATTTACATACTATCATCCATCAACCAAACTGGTTTTGAACGATTCCTGGATTGTGATATGTTGTGATCATCCATGATCATCCCCCAATCTCTCTCTCCCTATCTATCTATCTATCTTATCTTATCTAATCTTATCTTATCTATCTATCTATCTATCTCTGTATATGTCAAGGGATATAAAGGGATATAAAGGGTACAGTAGTATAACATAGTATAATCCACTAGGGTCACTATCAGTTGAAACATGGTGAAAACATGTGGGATGAAATATAACTCCATTCTGATTGTCGGTATAATGCCCATCGGCAAAATCTCTTTTGTCAAGTGGGGCATATCTATCCACCATTGTGGCAAAAAAATAAACCAGTGACCTGCCCAACCACGGTTTTGCTCTGAGAACGGGCCAACGGACATTATCTTGTAAACTTTTCTATAACCCTGAAGGACTGGATATCCAGTCCTTTCCAGCTGTTTCTTTCACTTGGCATCGAACTTATGTCATCATGCTACGCCATGAACAATTTAAGTTTTAGTCGGACAGGCCATCTATTTTACACGGAAATGCCAAACATAAACCCATTCACAAAGCATTCGTGTCCATTTACTACCGTTTGCCCTAGGTTGCTGCCTCGGATGGCTCAAATCATGGCTGTTGCATGTTTCAAAATTCCACCATCAAAGTCCAACAAGGTACCGGAAGCAGTATGTTATTTTGGGTGGGGCGTTTTTTGGCCAGAAAAAAAACACGAAAGTCCACCAGTTGTCATGGAAGTCGCTCCGGTGCTCCGGGCGCCATCAAATCGGCCCGGCCATGGTCTGCTCTGCGGTAAAGAGTCTACCCCAAGGGGGGTCGCCGCATTCCCGGGCAGAACCTCCACCGCCGCCATCTCGAGGCAACACTGTTTCTCTGCACCAAAATCGTGAAACCCGTTGGATTGTTCAAATGTTAAAACGAACTGGTGCCAAAACATATCCATTAAAAATGGCTGAAATTTGAATACCCGTGAAATAGCAATGGAATTTCAATGGCTAAAAAGCAACCGCATTCATGACATTCCAATCTATCTACCCCCGATAACTCCAATGACAAAAAGCAAAACAGGATGGGAAGTTCATCAACAGAAACGGGACTCAAACATATTCATGAGTTCCTTACATTTCCATGTCTCAGAATCATAAAAACCCGAACGTTCGATGGAATAAAATATTGAACATCGCAGCAAAACAAATAAGTATCTGAGACATTCAGAAATAATTATCTTATATAAATTTCATGAACTAAATGTGAACAACTTTGAATTTTGTTTCTTTACATATATATATATATAAACAAAATTATATATACATATGTATATATAATGTAAATAATGTATAAATGCATATATGTATATATGTAAATATGTATATGTGTATATATGTATATATGTATATATGTATATATGTATATATGTATATATGTATATATGTATATATGTATATATGTATATATGTATATATGTATATATGTATATATGTATACATGTATATATAAATATGTATATATGTAGATACATATATACATATATACATATATACATATATACATATATGCATATATGTATATATACATATGTACATATGTACATATATACATATATATACGTATTAATATATATATATATGTGTACATATACATGTATGTATATGTATTATGTATATATGTGCCTTTGTATATATATATATATGTATATGTGTATATATGTGTATATGTGTATATATGTGTATATATGTATATATGTATATATGTATATATGTATATATGTATATATGTACATATGTATATAGGTATATATATGTATATAGGTATATATATGTATATATGTATATATGTATCTATATATACATATATATATATATTCATAATATATCACAATTATATATATGTATACATATAATTATGTATGTATGTATGTATGTATGTATGTATGTATGTATGTATGTATTAATGTATTAATGTATTGTATATATATATATACTTGTATATATATATTATACATATCTGAAGCAATCATCACCTACTGCAAAATGTCGTGATCCAGCTCCCAGTGGTGCCCCGATGGTGCCTGTGGCTGATAGCAGGGCGTCGACATCGGCTGGGCACCGTAAGGCCTCGACTCTGATCCCTCGACACTGTTATTTTATGTGTGAAGGTTATTAGTACGATGAATTTTGGATACAGTTCAGGGATATAAAATTCTTTTGCTGTGTGTTGACTTGCATTCACTTCAAGAATGAGCAAATAATTCCCAAATGATGGGTGGTTCATAGTGAGTTGAAGGGTTCTGTTGACTGGTTTCATGGTCAGTACACCCGTAAAAGGAGAGGACCACAGATTTTGGGCACTGCACAGCACCACCGCTCCGGTTGCCATGCTCAGTTTGTCATTTTCTCAAACATGAAATATGTCGGACCATGTTGGAGCCCTATTTCCAAACAAACCACTGTAGCATGGTCATCATGGTCATGCAAAACCTAATCCATCCACAATGCCTCTTGTATCCTTGGATGAGCTATGCACCAAAGTCTGGCCTTTCATTCCACAATCAAAATTAGGAAACGGTGACCCATGTCCAATGGAGCAGTGTTCAAAACCCGCAACGCTGTTCCGTCATAATTATCCTGGTCTGTTGATAGGAATTCCCATAATGGATCATGATAACTGATACAGTAACTGATAATCCCCAATAAATCAGGTTATCATGGTTACCCCGATTCCATCTCATTATACTGGTTGGTTGATAGGTGTCTCTACTATGGGCTAAGTGGGCCATAATGATCCCCAATAAACCAAGTAGCATAAGCCCCTGCAGGAACCCACAGGGCTTTTGGTCACCCCCAGGCCCCTTGGGTGCCCCACCCTGCCATCTGTGGAGCCGGAGCTGCTGCCGGTAACTGACCATGTCTCAGGCTTCGAATGGCCTGGAAAATGACCAGAAAACGAGGCAAATCAGGTGGGAAAAATGGAGATATCCTACATCATCCATCCTCCTTATAATTAGCCTGGAGGTGTTGGGACCGCATTTCATAGGTATAAACTGGCTGTCCCCAACTGCCAAGTTTACAATATGCTGACTCCAAGTCAAAAATGTACTGCTACAAAATGCAGCTTCCAAGTACATATAGTCGAGAATCTACGACTACATATGGATACATATGGCATCTACAAAATGATGTGTCCAGGAAAGCCTTGGGATTTACCTGTTCATGCCTCTACATACAGAATGACCTTCCTACAAAAAAGGTTCCCAAGTATGTGGGGCTCGTGTTTTCTCGACATGCCCTAAACATCTCTCCACTACAAAATGCTTTCCCCTACTTACCACTTTCACAATCTACGTGTTCATGCAAACCTCTACAAAATGATCCTGCAGAAACTCTTAAAAGCAGTAAAAGCTACCAGGTTACAAAATGCAGGTGTACAGCACCAAACCTGCATATAAAAGCCTAGGGTTTTTCCATTTTATATGGGACCCAGGTCCTCCCATTCTGTAGGGGAAACTGCAAGAAGGATCATCATCCTACATCTATGGAGGTTTCCATAAATGAGGGTACCCTCTGGTTATGTCAAAATAGCTATTGAAAATGGCCATAGAAATAGTGGATTTTCCCATTAAACATGGTGATTTTCCAGTTCGCAAACTGTTAGTTTACCAGGCCGGGTACCCCCAAATGGTGGAATCCTTTGCAAATGGACCCGGCCAACAGGCGCCGGATCGCATCGGCTGAGTCTCGAAGCCGAGCACTGGATGATTTTGGAGTTTCCCATTTTAAGAACCCCCCCATATACAGATGATGCGTTCATTTGCAACCTCTGAAACGTTTGGTATCCACCAGAACTGGGACGTTTGGTCGTCCAACTAAGGATTACTCACCATGGGGGCCGGCCATATCCCACTCTAGATCTGCTTAGTGGTGTTAGCGACGTCCAAACACATAGTTCACTAATATGTTCACACCATGAAAGCTGGGGAAATCAAATCCGCAGGCAAACCATGAATGGACATTACCCGCCAACGAAATTGGGAGCTTTCCCGGAGCTTTCGTGGCGTCTTCAAATTCATGATATTCATGTTATCTTTCCGGCCCTTTTGTAGGCTTTCCCTCTGCAGGTTTTTACTTTCGCAGACATGGCTTAGCAATGCTTAGTATGCAGTTTATACATTTTTTTGGGATTTTGACCTCTGCTTCAGTGTGTCAAACCATTAACATCGCAGACCTTGGCACTTTATCGTGACAACAGGGTAAACCAAACGATATCACCAACATCAAAACCAATACTTATAGTTGGCAGCATAGTAAGCTTACATCAGGCTTACATCTCCTATCTTCAGCAAACATGCAATCAATTTTATTGCTTGCACACCCATGGCCTATGATACACTTACAATGTTCGTGGTTCGACATGGCTCAACATAAAGATTCGGTCAATTCACCATGTTTGATGATTCATATCCACCACTAAACTCAAATGTGTCAAATGTGGGTTTCCCAAACAGGGCTCCCTTTCAAAATCAAAAACTAACTTGAATGCAAACCCCCATGACAAAGGAAACCATCAAATATGCAAGGAAACCATCAAATATAAAAAAAAAACACCACACATCCAAAAACACTTCAAACCACCAACCAGTTGTAGTGATTCTATACCATTATATACCCAGTTGCACCGCATATTTTTGTTGCTCCACCAGGAAAGCCCGGATCAAGTCGCCCGCAATCCAATTCCCATCATTTCCAGTCGCGACGTGAGGTCGTGATCACACCCAGAAGATATTACTCATTCTATGCCCGTCATATATACATATATATATATATACATATATATATATAATGTATATATATATATGTATATATGTATATATGTATATATGTATATATGTATATATGTATATATGTATATATTCATTATATAAATCCCCATGATCACGAAATCAGCATTTTATAGAAATCCCCATGAAATCACCATTTTTCTTTGCCAAAAATATGTTGAAATTCCAGCAGCCCGGCATCCGCACCTCGGCACCGGAGGATTCCAGTTGTGAGGTCAAGGCGCCTGAGAGAGCCTGAATGAAGCGATGGAGATGGAGATCTCTCATGGCAGACCTAAAAGATATGATGGTTAATCTTTTTTTATTTATCTATGGTTAATCTATGGTTAATCTATCTGGTTGGTGGTAGACCTACCCCTCTGAAAAATACACTGGGATATGTATATATATATATATGTATATATATATATATGATTATATATGATTATGTATATTACTGGTTGGTGGTAGACCTACCCCTCTGAAAAATATGAGTTCATCAGTTGGGATGATGAAATTCCCAATATATGGAAACATAATAAAAATGTTCCAAACCACCAACCAGTATAAAGATATATACAGATGCTCATAATCCCAACAAATATCAATATCAGAATCAAAGATATATTCGTTTTAGCAAGGAACAAAAAACATTGGTTGGTTGGAAGCCAAAAAACTTTGCTTTCAACAAGCATGCTGGATCCAGTGATCATGGCTATCTCTGACCTCCACGTTCTCGATGCCCTCACCTTTTATGTCAGTTTCGTATGAAAACATCAGTCCTCTTTTGGCAACGCTTGAGTCAGACTAGATCTTCCAAATTTTTGGGTTATGGTTGATGGATGTTGATGGTATTTTCCTATGGTATCTGTCAAAAATCAACCATAGCCTGGAGTCCATCACTGTCAGGCTATGGTTGATTCCTGAAATGGCTATGGCGGCTATGGCGGCTATGGCGCTCAGAAATGGGGACCAGCCAAGTTGCGGATCAAACTCAGATAAGCTGCAAAACATCCATGGTATGCTGACTAATATTCTAATAGGTTGCTATGAATGGGAATATTCCATGGTTACGTTTGAAACTCATGTCATTCAATGGTACTAATATTCCCATTCATAGCAACCTATTAGAGTAAATCAAAGTATTAAAGTACTCACAAAATGCTGATCCCCACCAGTTATGGTTGTTGGTTTATACACCAGGTTAATTAGTTCGATATATCTAGGATAAAAAAAGCAAACTCTTATTTAAGTTCAGCCAACTTAGCTATCATAAATCCTCAGAAATCAATTCTCCCAACTTACTTGTTGGTGGATTCCACCATTTTTCACCATGTTTTTATTGGAGTTATAACATGTTATAATCACCTCAAGTATCATAATTCAGCTATAGCTGTCTACAACTCCTATTAAACTACCATTTGATGTTGGATAAATCTCCATTTTCCCTATGGTTTTCACATGTTTTCTCCAATTTCCCCTATCCTTAAGGGGTGCGAGGCACCATAAGCGATGTATCAGCCACAACTGGCATGGCCATAGGATAGGCCGGCGCAGCCAGTGGCGCAGCCAGTGGCGGCCTTGGCGGGGAACCACTTTGGGAGTGGGTGATAGCACCATATTATACCCAATATAGATAGATAAATATGTATATATATATGTAATATAATATTTATAAATATGTATGTGTATATATATATATTCTCTTCGTGAGCTTCCAAAACCATCCAAAACGATCGTTTCTGCAAGAAGGAGTATGTAAGAGATTGATCATTCAGGGCCATCAGGGTGAAATAGGGTGAATCAACATGAGAAGCACAAGAACGATAAGAAGCGAAGAAGGGATGTGGGTCAGTTTAAACATGAAAATAACTGGTCCCAAATAGATAAAAGAAAAAGCATAGAACCACCAAAAATCGGCAGGTCAGAGGGTGACTTTACCAATGGGGGGTTGCGCCAACAATGTAGGGGTGCAAAACCGCCTAATTGACTTTAGTATTGCCTCAGAACCATTGGTGTACTGACTTTAGCGATGGGTGAGGTATAATCCTACCTCTACATTATTTATTCAATGATGCTTGGAAATGAAAAACTCGGGTCCAGAACATGATTCCAGTAATATCATGGGAAAAGGCGGCATTTGACCAAGAATCAAGCGAATGCTATCCCTCCATTTATCATAAATAAGTGTCCCTTTTTTATATTTTCCAACGGTTGGAGATTCCAAACACATTGGTTTCCTCGCATGATTCACCTTGAACCAGATTGAAATCGCTGAGCGGAAGGTCCTGATCATGTCTTGGGGTCTGACCCATTAAAGAATGGGGAGAACTCACCTGCGAATGGACTGGGGGACTACAGATTCAGTCTATTTTCAATATTAATGTATTGCCCTCTGGTAATTTCACACAGTATTGAAAATACCCAATCTATAGTTGATTTACCTATTCAAAATGGTGAATTTCCATAGCTATGTTAGTTTACCAGAGGGTAACCATCTAATTACTGGTGTGCCCAATGTTTCACTGAAAATCAGGGGAGTGCCGGCAGCAGCATTGCGTCCGCATTTCGTCCGTTGGAATCCTGGGAAGTGTCTGTCCTCCGGTCTGGAACCTTGCCCAGTTTCCACCAAAGTAGGACCATGAAAAAACCGAAAAACCAAACGACAAAGTGAAACATCGTTTCAAATCTGTTTTCCACACGTTTGCAACTGTTTGCAGTCTCTTGGAACTCTGACTTCTAAACTTCAGAAGGCTCAAGACTGTGTCTTGGAAGTTGGACTTCTGAACTCCCCTTGGGCAGTTGAAGACTTCTGCAACTCCACCTATCAGCCATCGCTTGGTAGCCTCTGGGCTTCCCAGTTGGAGGACATCCACTTGACGCAGTTGAACACTGAGGTTCAGGCAAACCAGAGGACAGAACCATTCCAATTAGGACGTTTTCTGCAAAGACATGGAATGAAAGAAGTTGAAAACGTCCACAATTGAATGCAAAACTGACTGAATGCAAGCAAGTGCAATGCCAAGTTATGCCCAAAGTCACAAAAATAAATACATCACTTATTTCAGTCTTATGATGTCTAATGTATGTATATATATATATTACATCTAACTATATGTGATATATACATAATACACGCAGTATATGATTCTATATGAATATCTCTCTCTCTATATATATATATACATACATGTATCACTTGCAAATGAGAACTCAGGCCTGCTACTAATGATCTCAAGGTCGCTCAACATCAGGAATCAATAGCCATTGGACTCCGAATAGTGGGCAGCCTATTCTGACTGGTGCTAAACGCAATGGGGGAATCATCTAATCCAGAACTATTTTCACAATCCCAGCAACCCCCCCAGCAATCCTACTAAGCACCAGTAAATATTTTCAGACAAACTCATATCTCCATGACTCAAATTTGCATTCTCCCTGGACGATGATTCATTCGTCTTCGCCGAACTCCCCTGACTTTGCGAGACCAACCACCATGTTTCGCGTCAAAACTCCATTCTGATTGTCGGTATAATGCCCATCGGCAAAATCTCTTATGTCAAGTGGGGCATATCTATCCACCATTGTGGCAAAAAAATAAACCAGTGACCTGCCCAACCACGGTTTTGCTCTGAGAACGGGCCAACGGACATTATCTTGTAAACTTTTCTATAACCCTGAAGGACTGGATATCCAGTCCTTTCCAGCCGTTTCTTTCACTTGGCATCGAACTTATGTCATCATGCTACGCCATGAACAATTTAAGTTTTAGTCGGACAGGACATCTATTTTACACGGATCTCATGTCTGCTTCCGAAAAATCCTACTTCCAGTGGTCCAAACCCATTTCTATTGCCTAAAAATCCTACCTTCCATGGCAAAAAACTTTATTTTCAATTCCCAAATTCTTCCGACAAGTACCCACCATAGGACCATCCATGTGACCCCGTTAAGCCAAGCTACAAGCTACCCTGGTAGCCCTGCAGGCTGCCCTGGTACGTCATCGGTGGCGCCAGCGGCGTCATGGCCGGCGTGATGGCCGGTGCGTGGCTCAGGGCTGGCGGCGTGCTGCGCCTTGGGCATCGGATGATCTTTATGGATGGAACAATATCCATTGGGACAGTATTCGATGATTGTGCCAATCACATATATATATATGATTATATATGTAAGGATTTCAATTGGCTACAATTGAAATCTAATCAACATTTTTTTTGCCGATGAACTTGTAGTACTTGTAGTACTTGAAGTACTTGTAGTACTTGTAGTACTTGTAGTGAGTCGGGTTAAGAATTTTGATTGCGTTACCTTTTCCACCTCAAGTTTTTATCTCAATGAACCATGCAATAAGAGAAAGAGAAAGAGAAAGAAAAAGAAAAAGAAAAAGAAAAGAGAAAGGGAACGGGAGAAAGAGAAAGAGAGAGAGAGAGAGAGGGAGAGAGAGAGAGGAGGAGGAAGAGGAAAAGGAAGAGGAAAAGGAAGAGGAAGAGGAAAAGGAAGAGGAAGAGGAAGGGGAAGAGGAAGGGGGAGAGCAAGAGAAAGAGAAAACATAAGAGAAAGAGAAAGAGAAAGGAAAAGAGAAAAGAGAAAAGGAAAGTTGAAAGAGAAAGAACAGGTTGCTTTTGTAAAAGGCTTTTCTTTCTTCTCTTGGCCCCAGGATCAGCTCTGGAAAAGTTTGCTGCAATTGTGAACCCTGCGAACAAACCTACTAAAGTGAATTGGACCCTCTCATGGCCCAGTGCCTTGGAGATTTGTGGAAAATATGTTCTTTAATAAGGGTTTATTAGGCGGTCTGATTCTTTTGGGACAGTGAGAAAAGCACGATTTTTTCAGAACAAAATTTTCAGTTTTTTTTACACAAACATTTTTTTGGACAAAAACAAATGCCCCCCAAGATTTCTTGCCACAATAGTGAACCTTCCAAACAATGCAGGGGTTCAGAATAAGTTGGATTTTTTTTTGGCACAATAGCGAACCGAGCCACTAATCAGGATACAACATTATTCACGAATTGGTTGACCCCTCATTTGTTGGCTACAGCCAGAACCCTAAGGACCCTAAGGACCCTAAGGACCCTAAGGACCCTAAGGACCCTAAGGACCCTAAGGACCCTAAGGACCCTAAGGACCCTAAGTATCCACAAACACTCCTTATCATTGATTCACGTACTATTGCCACTACTATTCACCAGCTGGCTCACTGCTATGGTCAGCCACTCAGGTTTAAACACCAGTGATCCATAGGTCAGTATCTGACCCCGACTGATCAGTCGATTTTTAATGCTCAAATGTCTCATTTCCATTCATTTCCCAGTATTTTGCATGGAAAAAGGTCTCATTTTTCCATGCAACAAAAAACCCTTCATGTTAGTTTCACCCAGATTTTTTCATGGTTTCACCATGGTTTCACCCACATAAATCTTCTGGTTATTTAACATAGCCATGGTATAGATGGCCCATAGAAATAGATGATTTTCCCAGCTAGAAACCTCCATTTATGAGGGATTTTCCATGGCTATGTTAGTCATAACCAGATGGTATATTGCAATCTATAGTTGTGATGAATGGGAAAATCACCATCTTTAGTAGTTTAATCAACTATAAATGGGTCATTTTCCATGGCTATGTTTAACTAACCAGAGGGTAAATCTTCTGGATCTGCAAAAATAGATACGTTTTCCGTTTTCCCTCTCGGATCTCCATGGATCTCCCAGGTCTCCACACTGCGGAGACGCTGGTGCAGGTGGATAGGCCACCGGCGGAGGCCTCGGTCCAAAAAATGCATCAGTAGATACCCTCTGTTTATGTCAAAATAGCTATTGAAAATGGCCATTTATAGTTCATTTACCTATTAAAAATGGTGATTTTCCATAGTTATGTTAGTTTACCAGAGGGCAAGTTGGAATGTTCAGAATTGGGAGGTACCATCTGGTTATGACTAACAGTTTGCCATGGAAAGATCCACCATGCTATTAATAAGCAAACCATCTATTTCTATGGGCCATCTATACCATGGCTATGTTAAATAACCAGAGAGTAACCTACAATTCTATCCAGGGTGTTGGAATACAAATTTCATTGCGCACGGGCTTAGAAAATCTAAGAGTGGGAAACATATGATATGCATGGTGCTTAGGTTCCATGTTGTGGATATATCATCCAGAATCCATATATATATCCGCCGACCCCGGCAGACGCAAGGGGGAGCGCGCCAGGGAATAAGACATTGCGACTACTACTATACTACTGCAGCTACAGTAGATAGAAACAGCAGCAGCAGCAGCAGCAGCAGCACAACAACCACAACAACAACAACAACGACAACAACAACAACAACAAGAACAAGAACAAGAACAACAACAACAACAACAACAACAACAACAACAACAACAAGAACAAGAACAAGAACAACAACAACAACAACAACAACAATGACCCTTTGCCGGGGGACCCTGTTGGGTCCCCCTCCCACCGGTCACGTACGTCGATTCATTGACTCCGGGGTTTTTGTTTTACCGGTGGGGGGTCCTTCCCGGAGTCTCCTCGAGGTACGTGGGGCTCCTTGGGTTGCCCTTCCCGCTCTGATTTGTTCGTTCGAGGCCGCATCCTCGAGGTTCTATGTCTCATTGTACAAACAGTGGTATCCGCTGACCCCGGCAGACGCAAGGGGGAGTGCGTAAGGGAAAAAGAGTTTATGACACAGCTGCCAGGAAAGAATAATAATAATTCGCTGACCCCGGCCGATGCAAGGGGGAGCGACAACAACAACCATGTGCCACCTCTGCTGTGCTCTCGATAGTCCATAAGCTTCAGGGTTAGGCTGCAATTTTCTTAGATCAAGTCGTGTCTTTGGTACCGGAGCATACTACTTGCCAACATTTTGTTCCACATCTTTTCCCGTTTCGTTTTTTGTGCGCTACCCGTATGCGGCCAAAGCGTTTCGTGCTTTGCACTTCTGTTAAACATGCTGGACACTGATGTGTGAAAAAGCTCTGAATCACTGTGCCACCGCGAACACGGAAGCGGACACCACAATGCTGTTGTTTCGCATCAACTTGTCCATCAGTGACAGTACTACGGACCTGTGTCTCACAATGAGGACATATATATTCATAGACCGGCTTTCTCTGCGAGATAGTGGGCCCTGCTGTATTTTCAACGCATTTTTCAACAGGAATCGTGGTGCGACTACGTTTCCGAGCAATTGCTTCCCATGTCTCCTGGATAATTTGCCTGTGGCGCAATCTTTTCCGGAGAGGTTCGAGGCGAGCTGCACTGGAAGCAGCTGCGCGCTTGCGGACTGCACGCTGCACCTTCGCAGCGTGGCATGTGTTGCATGTCTGCGTTCCATCCTCCTTTCTAGAGGGCCGCCGGGAAATAAAGCTAGAAAAGTGGTGCCGCGACTAGGATTTCAGACGACACGTTAGGGAGTTTTTTGGCGTGGTTCTGGACCTTGCTCGTCCTTCAGAGCGATGGTGTTTTGCTGCCGGGAGCTGCTTTTTTCGAAGCTGTTTTACCGGCATCAGCAGCAGCAGCCGCCGCCACCAGTTCTGCGAGCAGCCGCAGGCAACAGAATCTGTCGACAAATGCTGTTTTTCTAGATTTCCAGACGACACGTTAGGGAGTTTTTTCGCGTGGTTTTGGACCTTGCTCGTCCTTCCGAGCCATGGTGTTTTGCTGCCGGGAGCTGCTTTTTTCGAAGCTGTTTTACCGGCATCAGCAGCAGCAGCCGCCGCCACCAGTTCTGCGAGCAGCCGCAGGCAACAGAATCTGTCGACAAATGCTGTTTTTCTAGATTTCCAGACGACACGTTAGGGAGTTTTTTCGCGTGGTTTTGGACCTTGCTCGTCCTTCCGAGCCATGGTGTTTTGCTGCCGGGAGCTGCTTTTTTCGAAGCTGTTTTACCGGCATCAGCAGCAGCAGCCGCCGCCACCAGTTCTGCGAGCAGCCGCAGGCAACGCAGGCAACAGAATCTTTCGACCTTGCTCGTCCTTCAGAGCCATGGTGTTTTGCTGCCGGGGGCTGCTTTTTTCGAAGCTGTTTTACCGGCATCAGCAGCAGCAGCCGCAGGCAACAGAATCTCTCGACAAATGCTGTTTTTCTAGATTTTTCTAGATTTCCAGACGACACGTTAGGGAGTTTTTTCGCGTGGTTTTGGACCTTGCTCGTCCTTCCGAGCCATGGTGTTTTGCTGCCGGGAGCTGCTTTTTTCGAAGCTGTTTTACCGGCATCAGCAGCAGCAGCCGCCGCCACCAGTTCTGCGAGCAGCCGCAGGTAACAGAATCTTTCGACCTTGCTCGTCCTTCAGAGCTATGGTGTTTTGCTGCCGGGGGCTGCTTTTTTCGAAGCTGTTTTACCGGCATCAGCAGCAGCAACCGTCGCCACCAGTCCTGCGAGCAGCCGCAGGCAACAGAATCTCTTGACAATCTCTCGACAATGTGCTGTTTTTCTAGGATTTCAGACGACACGTTAGGGAGTTTTTTGGCGTGGTTCTGGACCTTGCTCGTCCTTCAGAGCCATGGTGTTTTGCTGCCGGGAGCTGCTTTTTTCGAAGCTGTTTTACCGGCATCAGCAGCAGCAGCCGCCGCCACCAGTTCTGCGAGCAGCCGCAGGCAACAGAATCTGTCGACAAATGCTGTTTTTCTAGATTTCCAGACGACACGTTAGGGAGTTTTTTGGCGTGGTTCTGGACCTTGCTCGTCCTTCAGAGCCATGGTGTTTTGCTGCCGGGAGCTGCTTTTTTCGAAGCTGGTTTACTGGCATCAGCAGCAGCAGCCGCCGCCACCAGTCGTGCGAGCAGCCGTAGGCGACAGAATCTCTCGACAATCGACAAATGCTGTTTTTCTATGCTGTTTCTATGCTGTTTTTTTGCTGTTTTTCTAGCACATTTTTTCTAGCATTTCAGACGACACGTTTGGGAGGTTTTTTGGCGTGGTTCTGGAACTTGCTCGTCCTTCGGAGCCATGGTGTTTTGCTGCCGGGAGCTGCTTTTTTCGAAGCTATTGTACCGGCATCAGCAGCAGCAGCCGCCACCTGCGAGCAGCTGCAGGCGACAGACTCTCTCGAAAAAAGCTGTTTTTCCAGGATTTCAAACGACATCAGCAGCAGCAGCCGCCGCCACCAGTTCTGCGAGCAGCCGCAGGCAACAGAATCTGTCGACAAATGCTGTTTTTCTAGATTTCCAGACGACACGTTAGGGAGTTTTTTCGCGTGGTTTTGGACCTTGCTCGTCCTTCCGAGCCATGGTGTTTTGCTGCCGGGAGCTGCTTTTTTCGAAGCTGTTTTACCGGCATCAGCAGCAGCAGCCGCCGCCACCAGTTCTGCGAGCAGCCGCAGGCAACAGAATCTGTCGACAAATGCTGTTTTTCTAGATTTCCAGACGACACGTTAGGGAGTTTTTTCGCGTGGTTTTGGACCTTGCTCGTCCTTCCGAGCCATGGTGTTTTGCTGCCGGGAGCTGCTTTTTTCGAAGCTGTTTTACCGGCATCAGCAGCAGCAGCCGCCGCCACCAGTTCTGCGAGCAGCCGCAGGCAACGCAGGCAACAGAATCTTTCGACCTTGCTCGTCCTTCAGAGCCATGGTGTTTTGCTGCCGGGGGCTGCTTTTTTCGAAGCTGTTTTACCGGCATCAGCAGCAGCAGCCGCAGGCAACAGAATCTCTCGACAAATGCTGTTTTTCTAGATTTTTCTAGATTTCCAGACGACACGTTAGGGAGTTTTTTCGCGTGGTTTTGGACCTTGCTCGTCCTTCCGAGCCATGGTGTTTTGCTGCCGGGAGCTGCTTTTTTCGAAGCTGTTTTACCGGCATCAGCAGCAGCAGCCGCCGCCACCAGTTCTGCGAGCAGCCGCAGGTAACAGAATCTTTCGACCTTGCTCGTCCTTCAGAGCTATGGTGTTTTGCTGCCGGGGGCTGCTTTTTTCGAAGCTGTTTTACCGGCATCAGCAGCAGCAACCGTCGCCACCAGTCCTGCGAGCAGCCGCAGGCAACAGAATCTCTTGACAATCTCTCGACAATGTGCTGTTTTTCTAGGATTTCAGACGACACGTTAGGGAGTTTTTTGGCGTGGTTCTGGACCTTGCTCGTCCTTCAGAGCCATGGTGTTTTGCTGCCGGGAGCTGCTTTTTTCGAAGCTGTTTTACCGGCATCAGCAGCAGCAGCCGCCGCCACCAGTTCTGCGAGCAGCCGCAGGCAACAGAAATCTGTCGACAAATGCTGTTTTTCTAGATTTCCAGACGACACGTTAGGGAGTTTTTTCGCGTGGTTTTGGACCTTGCTCGTCCTTCCGAGCCATGGTGTTTTGCTGCCGGGAGCTGCTTTTTTCGAAGCTGTTTTACCGGCATCAGCAGCAGCAGCCGCCGCCACCAGTTCTGCGAGCAGCCGCAGGCAACGCAGGCAACAGAATCTTTCGACCTTGCTCGTCCTTCAGAGCCATGGTGTTTTGCTGCCGGGGGCTGCTTTTTTCGAAGCTGTTTTACCGGCATCAGCAGCAGCAGCCGCAGGCAACAGAATCTCTCGACAAATGCTGTTTTTCTAGATTTTTCTAGATTTCCAGACGACACGTTAGGGAGTTTTTTCGCGTGGTTTTGGACCTTGCTCGTCCTTCCGAGCCATGGTGTTTTGCTGCCGGGAGCTGCTTTTTTCGAAGCTGTTTTACCGGCATCAGCAGCAGCAGCCGCCGCCACCAGTTCTGCGAGCAGCCGCAGGTAACAGAATCTTTCGACCTTGCTCGTCCTTCAGAGCTATGGTGTTTTGCTGCCGGGGGCTGCTTTTTTCGAAGCTGTTTTACCGGCATCAGCAGCAGCAACCGTCGCCACCAGTCCTGCGAGCAGCCGCAGGCAACAGAATCTCTTGACAATCTCTCGACAATGTGCTGTTTTTCTAGGATTTCAGACGACACGTTAGGGAGTTTTTTGGCGTGGTTCTGGACCTTGCTCGTCCTTCAGAGCCATGGTGTTTTGCTGCCGGGAGCTGCTTTTTTCGAAGCTGGTTTACTGGCATCAGCAGCAGCAGCAGCCGCCGCCACCAGTCGTGCGAGCAGCCGTAGGCGACAGAATCTCTCGACAATCGACAAATGCTGTTTTTCTATGCTGTTTCTATGCTGTTTTTTTGCTGTTTTTCTAGCACATTTTTTCTAGCATTTCAGACGACACGTTTGGGAGGTTTTTTGGCGTGGTTCTGGAACTTGCTCGTCCTTCGGAGCCATGGTGTTTTGCTGCCGGGAGCTGCTTTTTTCGAAGCTATTGTACCGGCATCAGCAGCAGCAGCCTCCACCTGCGAGCAGCTGCAGGCGACAGACTCTCTCGAAAAAAGCTGTTTTTCCAGGATTTCAGACGACACGTTAGGCAGTTTTTTAGCGTGGTTCTAAAACTTGCTCGTTCTTTAGAGCCATGGTTTTTTGCTGCCGGGAGCTGCCGGCAGGTGCTTTTTTCGAAGCTATTTTCCTGCGAGTAGCTGCAGGCAACAGAATCTCTCGACACATGCTGTTTTTCTATAGAATTTTCTCTAGAATTTCAGACGACCGGTTAGGGAGTTTTTTGGCGTGGTTCTGGAACTTGCTCGTGTTTCAGAGCCATAGTGTTTTGTTGCCGGGAACTGCTTTTTTCGAAGCTGGTTGACCGGCATCCGCAGCAGCAGCAGCCGAATACAATGACAGTACATTTACATTACACCAAATTACACTACATAACTTTACATTGCAAGGTACATACCAGCCAAAGTCCATCAAACTGCGCGGACAAAACCATGGTAAGAATGTCCAAGCGTTATGTCTGGGTTCCATTTAGTATTTCCTTCAAACCTTATTAGAGTGTCGTCTAGGGTCTCTTTAGGATGCATTTAAAGTTTCATTCAAATGGTTTCTTTAGGTCAATTTCTGGTTTCTTTAGGGTTCATTTCATTTAGGATCCAAACAGAAGAGAATAAAACAAAAGAATTAGAATTTCATGCCGAGCTTCTCTGGGATTCACTCGGGTTTCGCGTTTCTTAAAGATTTACATCTCTTAAAAGTTTTCTTTCGAGTTTCTTTAAGGTTTCTGTCGAATTTCATGCAGGGTTTGCTTTAGGAATTCTTTCAGGTCTTCCGGGGTCGGCGGCAGGGGCGGCAGCCCTTAAATATATATATATCAAAGATGGACACCAAAAAACAGAATAGATCCGTATCATCTTATTTTGGGATGGACAATGGTTTGGAAAAGCCCTGGATCGATGAACATAACATAAAGAATATGCGATCATTTGAGGACACCAACACCAGCAACACATCCGATCGTTTTTCGGCACATCTTGAAGCCAGGTATAGCCAGGTATAGTACCAGGTATAGCCAGGTGCCAAATCTTCCCATCATGGAACCATGGCTATGCCTAATGAAGAGAATGAAGGCACTACACATTTGGTGGTTTCCTAAAATAGGGGTACCCCTAAATCATCCAATTTAGTAGGATTTTCCATGAAATAAACCATCCAACTATTGGGGTACCCCCATGACTTAGGAAACCCCCTCGATTGGTGTCGATCATGACGACTATGAGTCCTATCCCCGCCGAAACTTGCTAATTTTCAATTCTTAGCTGGTCAGGTTACCCTCTGGTAAACAAACAGTTTGCTATTGAAAATGGCATCTTTATAAGTGGATTTACATGGATTTACCCAGCTGTAAAATGGTGGATCTTTCCATCGTTTTCTGTATGTTTACCAGAGGGTAAACATGGTTAACCTTTAAGCTACTGGACATCTATGTCTCCCCATCCAAACGGCAAAGGGTTAAAAGATATGAAACGATGAACTACCCATCTGGTTTCCTTAGCACGGTGAAACTCCGTCACCGGTCGCCACGACGACTGACCCAGTCCAAACAGGTTGAGGAATGTACGATGCCCCAAAATCTGAGGGCAGTTTGATATAATTTTTGTTGGTCAAATCAGTTCAATCCTCATTAATGTGGTTAAACCCAATAGATAATCAACCTACCATTTCAAAACGGCTTATACAACAAACTTATGGCAATTTTGGGGATGGTTTATTATTGGGTTTACCCATTATATATACATATACAGTATTTCTTCTTGTTAGATGATTTAGATGAAACGCGCATGTGACATTCGAAAAAAAGGGTGATGAGAATCAGCAAAAGGGGGATATGAGGATATGGCGGTATGGCCTGTGTTGTTGATTCTAGTCACTCTCTTTTCTCTTAAGGTCCAATTTTTTTTTTGGTTTGTAGATGTTTCCAACAAAAATCCAACAAACCCAATGCTGCCAATGCTGGTTGGTGGTTTATTTTAACCATCTTGAAAAATATGAAAGTCAATGGGAAGGATTACCCCATATATGAAATGGACAATAAATGTCAATAAAACATGATAAAACATGTTTGAAACCACCAAGCAGCAATGGGAAGCGTTGACAAATTGAGCTCCCCAACGGCGCCCCCGGGAAACTGCCCACGTTGCTCAGGCCAGACCTGACATCTGTCATAGGGTCCGGTCGAACGGGTGAAATCTGCCTGGGGAATCCTGTTCCCTATTTCTTCTTTTCCATAACTGATGGGTACCCTCTGGTAAACTAACATAGCTATGGAAAATGGCCCATTTATAATCATTTATAGATGGTTTACCTATTGAAAATGGTGATTTTCCATGGCAAACCGTTAAATAACCAGATGGTATATCCAATTCTCAGATACACCTTTGGGTGTACACGCTAATTGTTTTTGTTTTTTCGAATGTGATGTATTATTTTCCAAATTTGGATGTGGGAATATCCCAGCTGCCAAGCCGTTGCTGCTCAAGAACATGGTATCCCAAGACACAAGAATCCCTCAGCCAGTCCATTGAATGTGACCAAGTGTGTATTGCAATTATCACTAAAAACCGGGGAATGCATTAGCAAGAAGTGGGGAAGATATCCAAACAAGCTAAACAAGAAATCAAGCCACACAATCGGGGTATGAGAAACCACTTTAAAGACACCGATCATCAACAATCATGAGGATGACTGATGATCTAAACGATAGTCTTTGTTAAAATGGGGATACCTAAACTGGGAATGTTGGGGAAAATGCTGACCAAAGAGGATGACCAAGAAGTACCAATGCTACATGCAACACAAGGGATTCGACCTACCAGAGATGCTGCACTCGTCAACCAAGAACCAAACAACGACGATCACCAACTTATGGGGAGACAGGCAATCACCAACCGGAGCTGTCAATCCCTCTATACCTGGGTCCCGTGCGGTCCGTTCATGGGGTACCTGTCTACCGGCTGGGGAAAGAGTAGGGCATAAGGCACAAGAGAAGTGCTTAGAAACCTCTGACTTCAGAGAAAGTTTTCCATGTGTATAGCAAGCCTATACAGATAGAACACGTGTCTCCAGGATGGTATACATGATCTGGTTGGTGGTTTCAACTCCTCTGAAAATTGGGATGATTGTTCCCAATATATGGAACAATAAAATTCATGTTCCAAACCGCCAACCAGTGATGGTTTTCCCGATATGTTCCAGCTTGCCAAGGTATTTTTTAATCATCGACCCTTGGGGGGCTGTACTTTGCCATCTCAGTCATCCCCTGTTGCTAAGGGCCACCTTGAATTTCACGAGTGCTCTAACAATACCATCTAAATTTCCAAGTCGCATGATCCTCCTCGTCCTTTGTGGTCTTACCATCTAAATCATTCTAAATATACATCTATATTACAAACCAGTTCTTTCCCCTCATTTAGTCAATATCCTAATGTTTGTATAATTCTGATAGTGCTTTTAACACCACTCACTAAGTGCTAGCGTCCCAATCCTCCTTTCATATTGTCCAACTTTTCGCAGACCTTGGGGCCCTCTAATTCCCACCAGATTGCCATGTAAAAATCACCATGCTGCCCATCATGCCGCCCAATTTTCCACCAAGCATCCATTCATCCATAAAATTCAACAAATTGTTGAAAGACGATGGGATTTTGATGGATTTTCATGGATTTTCCAGGCTTGACACCCCAAAAAATGTCGATTTTCGAGGTCTAAACCCAACAAACATGTAGATTTTCGTCCACAAAAATGAGGTCTCCAGCTCCAGGAGGGTCACTTTCCCATGTCCGGCATCTGAAGGTCAGTGCCCGTGGGCAGCGTGCCCAGGTTCTGCCTTCTGGCCGGAGAAGATCGGGGATTTCACATGGACTTATAGTAACCCCCAAAACGATACTGCAAACATTGGTGAAATCCAGCGAACATTGTGGTAGATTGATGTAAATTGTACTTTTCGGCATCTTTTTTTGGAAGATTACCTGTTTCTACAACATTATGAGACAACCAAAGGGTATCTAACAAGCAAAGAATCGCAGCTTGAAGCAGCCCAAATCGTGATCTGACTGATGTCAGAATTCAGCGTGATTCCCTATAGTTTCTTTCCTACACATATCATTCTTCAGGGATGTGAATCAGTATCATCAAACAACAAAATCGTTTAACGGTTAAAAATTAACCTGCAAAATTGGGACAGCTTGAGGCATGTGGGGCCAGAGATGCCGGGGTTGAGCAGTCCGGAACCAAGTTGGCGATGGGTCCAAATCGAAGGCTGAACAGATTTTTCTTGGCTGGGAATTTCGCATCCATTGAGGCACCCAACACATACAAATCATCACAAATCGATAAGGATTCCAGTAGGGATAGAGGGGAAAAACATGGAAAAACAGGAGGATCTGACCAAGAGAAACACTTGGACTCCCAAAAATTCGGCCATGTCGATCCATGGAGAACCCCTGGATACAGTAGCCCCCGAGGCCCCTGAGGCTCCAGACACGTCCCTGAACCGACTGTCCTGGGCTTGATATGTATTGATTCACAGCAAATTGGGTCCTTTGAAGAACTGGAGACCCTAAGGCTTCTGGCCGCTTAATGGGAAAATCATGGAACCAAATGGAGGTCTCTAGCTGGGACAATCGAGCTAAATGGTGTTTTTTTTAGCAAAGTGGTGGTTTGATTACCAGCTGGTAGCTGAAAATAGGCTGAATTTTAGCCAGTGGGGGGAATGCCTGGCGTCCAGCTAGAGATTTTGAACGTCTTCTGCTGATCTAAGAGTAGCCCTGCCAGCTGTTGAGAAGGCCTTCACCAAGATGATTTTCCCACTAAAACCCTCCCACTTGGGTGACGGGGATTTCCCATTCAAACGTACATTTTAAATGCATTTATATGCATAAATTATGGATTATTTTTCCATTAAGAGTCCATTCATAGATGATTTTCCTATGAAAACCCTGCGATTTTCCGAGATTTCGCCCCGTCCCAAACACCCCAGAACTGGGCGGAACGGGCGAAGAGGTCGCGGGCATTCATCGGCCTCAGCTTCGTGCTCCCAAGTCTGAGGTGCAGCCATGGATCCACCATGCATCTTGGGTTTAGTGGGTTTACAACCAACTATTACCCTCTGGCTATTTAACATAGCCATGGTATAGATGCCCCATTTATAGAGGTTTACCGAACTTAAAAATGGTGATTTGCCATGGCTATGTTAAATAACCAGATGGTAGATATTTTAAGATGGGATATCTAGAGATATAATTAATGGGAAATACTGGGATAGAATGTGGGACACCGAAAACAATCAACACACTACCATTTAGCATTCATAAGAATGATGATGACTTGGGGATGGCTTATTATTAATTGGATTTACCACATTATACAATAGGCGATAATCCTACGAATACTGTATATCTAGATCTCTCTCTCTCTCTCTATCTATATACATACATGTACACATACAATACAGTTTGGATACAAATACACACAAATACACAATCCAATGATGATACATGCAGGATCATCCAGGTACACATTGGGGACCCTACTACTGGCTGACATGGCTGACATTTCCCCATAGCTTTCAGTGATGGATTTCACCGGGTCCAGGGCGAGCAACCGATGTCTGATGTCAGATTTTGGTGATTTGGTGAGTTGATCCACTTGCAATTGACTTACTGGTGATATTTGTTAATAATGGTTAATCTATGGTTAATCTATGGTCAATAATGGTTAATGATGGTTAATGATGGTTAATGATGGTTAATGATGATTAATAATTCGGTTAATGAGGGTCTAGGTTTTTCTTACTGGTGCTTAACAGGGAATGAGGGAATGATCCATAATAACTATTAATAATCATACCAGCAACCCCCAGCAACCCATCCATTCCCTACGTTTAGCACCAGCAAGTTGATAGTGGGTATACTCAGTGGGATGTTGATGCAACTTAGGGACTGTGGTTACTGATCCCCCCCTCGATCCTCGGCTCTTTTTTTTGTTTCACATAATTGGATGGCCCGTTTTTGGATCACCATACCAGCATGCCCCATATCATGCGCTGTCAACATGATATATGGATATATATATATATATGTATGGGATGAATGCTTGTTATCCGCCCCATTAATTGCATGATATTCCATGTAATTCCTGCTTTTAATGGATTGATGCACATTTCCGCAACTTTTGACCATGGCATGTCAATGAGTGTCAACCCCGTATTAATACACCCAGACTATTCATTGGGGTGGTTCCCCGCAAAATAATGATAAATTGCTACAAACAATGGTACCATGCTATCAATATCTATTAATCAATCTTTTTTTAAATGCTGGATCAAAACTATGGTGGTTGCTATTCAAAAATTGTACCGCCCTCATTGATGGTGTGCAGTATCAATCCTGGGTTAACCGTTGTAGCCATTGGCTGTGCCACTGAGGCTGGTACACCTTCAACGGCTCCGTTTCGCTGGTGTCACCCTGGAGGGACGCAGCAAAGATAGGAGGATTTCATGCAGCAAACATGTGTCTTTTAGATTCATCTAGCTGGTTGGTGGTGCAATAACCATCTTGAAAAATATGAAAGTCAATGGGAAGGATTATCCCATATATTATGGAACATAAAACATGTTTGAAACCACCAACCAGCTAGCCTGAGAAGAAAAGGATCTAGGCATATCTAGGCATATCTAGGCAACTTTGGGAAGAACTTCAACGCTTTGGATCCTGGTACGCTGGTATAGACTTTGTAAATGGAGGTTTATTGATGTTGGATCGGATGATCCTATCTCCATGTCCGCGCTTGGTGAATATGACATGGTTTCATCATTGAAAACTGGGTTCCCAGTTTTCAAGGAACTACAGGGATTACTTTTTTGCGACACGAGATACACTTACACAAAAAAAGGATTGATATTTCACCACAAACACTTTCTTGGAATTTCTGGGTGTTTCTTGAGTCCTTGAGTCCTTGAGGATAGCATACTACACCGATGTTCTTGATCCCAGGATAGAACCAGATGCCGCAGGGTCACCTTGATACCTTTCAATGGGCGCCAGATATTTCTGCCGGGCTGCCGTTTTTGGTGATCGCTTTGAAAATCCCCAAAAAACCGTTGTTGGTCGGTGATCTTCCACTTTTTAGTCCCATATATTTGATTATACTCCAATATTTTCCGATTTATCATGACTGGTTGGTGGTGCAATAACCATCTTGAAAAATGATGGAGTTCGTCAATTTTGTCAGGATGACATCCCATATATCCATATGTTATGGAAAATCATCCAAATGTTTGAAACCACCAACCAGCTAGCCTGAGAAGAAAAGGATCTAGGCATATCTAGGCATATTCCGATTTATCATGATTTATGATGATATATGCCCGTATATACATATATTTAGGTACAAATCCTGGAGATCCAGCGGGCTCCGTGACTGAGGTCCGGGTGGACATTTCCACAAAAAAAATAATATCTGCATTGCACTTAGAATATTCGATAATGAAGATATCATTGAGAACTAAGAACATTACTTCTTGAATTGTCTTTGGAAACAGTACTGCTTTGAAAGATCTGCTGAATAGTTACTCAATAGCTGCTCAATAGCTGCGAAATAGCTGCTCAATAGCTGCTAAATAAGCTGCTAAATAGCTGCGAAAGAGCTTCCAAATAGCTGCTAAATAGCTGCTAAATAGCTGCTAAATAGTTGCTAAATGGCTGCTAAATAGCTTCTAAATAGTTGCTGAATAACTGCCAAATAGCTTCTAAATAGTTGCTGAATACTAAATAGCTGCTAAATAGTTACTAAATGGCTGCTAAATAACTGCTAAATAGCTGCTAAATAGCTGCGAAATAGCTTCCAAATAGCTGCTAAATAGCTGCTAAATAGCTGCTAAATAGTTGCTAAATGGCTGCTAAATAGCTTCTAAATAGTTGCTGAATAACTGCCAAATAATTAGCTTCTAAATAGTTGCTGAATACTAAATAGCTGCTAAATAGTTACTAAATGGCTGCTGAATAGCTGCTAAATAGCTTCTAAACAGCTGCTGAAGAAGTGCTACATAGTTGCTAAGTAGCTGCTAAATAGAACAAGAAGGTGAATTGATTCATGTGACTTTGGAATACTCTAACTGCGAATGTTTTCGGAATCTTCTAAGTCGAGCTGTGTATCATTTTGGAATATTCTAACTGCTGACGTATAATTTTGGATTATTCTGACTGCTAGCAGGTTACTATATATATATATTGAATGTATGATATACGTATATAATCATATATATATATACATTCCCAATGATTCCCATACATTAGTAGGTTATAATCTCACAGTCGTCCCTGGGCGACGGCTCTTCGCCTTCATAGCGATATCTTCGCCGTGTTCCTTGGGATGGAAATGGTGGATCATGGTGGACCAAATGTGTTTCGGCCACATATTTGGGCAACCTACCAGGGCAAGAATAAACAATAGAAATAAGGCTAATAAGGTAAAACAAGTAGACATTTACTAGAATGACGAGAGTGACAATATGCAATGTTTCTTAATCAATTATCATATTATCATGATAAATACACGTACAGTAGATGGATGTAAGCTGCCTGAAACCATTTTCCCACATTGTAGAAACTGGGTCAAAAGGGCATGCCCCACTCCGACCACTGGTACTTCAAACTCAGTTGGCACTAAAACTCATTCTTTTTGAGCATTCCAATTTTTTTCTCAGAATCATTTGCTAGTGAGGGACCCCCGAACGAATGCTTTTAAACATCGACTTCCCTTTGACAGAGCCATTTCCTGTCATGGCACTTGTATCTTCCAGCTCAAGGGAGACTAATGGACATTCGGGGGACAACATTTGCAGGACAATCCGACCTGTGAGGGGAAAAAAGCCACCAGGTTTCCAGTAAACGTTGAACATCAAACGCCATCAGCTTCACTACGGATCAAAGAAACATACGTGGAACATACTGCTTCAGCAGTGTATCAAAATCACAGCGGAACTCCGGAACTCGTTTCTGGTTGGTGGTGAAACAACCCCTTCTGAAAAATATGAAAGTCAGTTGGGATGATGACTTTCCCAATATATGGGAAAATAAAATTCATGTTCCAAACCACCAACCAGTCGTTTTATTCTGCTTTCATCAATGATCAATTAATGGATAGAAACACCTCCAGGGCCTTGGCCAATCAACATCTTGGCAGATTGATCGGCGGGCAACTCACCCCGCGCCATGAATGGGGGTACTCCCATGTATATGGACACCCCCCATATGTATGTTGACACTCATATCATGATAATGATGATAACACTAATAACAATGATAATATAATCATAATAACAAAACTAGTAATAATCAAAATAATATAAATAAGATAAATAATATACAAAATGTAAACAATATAAATATTAAAATTTGTAATAACATTTGTAATAATATGTAATAATATGTAATAATAATAGTAATAATAGTAATGACAGTAATAATAACAACAACAACAACAACAACAATAATAATAATAATAATATATTCAGCAGTTCCAAACCACTCAAGAATGGCTGCTTCCTTCATTTTCACCCTCCAAAGTGAGTGGAAATCGGTGGAGGATCATCCCAGCTTCATCGCACCTGCTGAAAATCGCCCCTGGTTAGTATGAAAAGTCCCTGATTGTTGGGGATATTACCTAAAACTTGGATTATACAATATGATGCACTAGTTTTTGATGAAGTATAATTCCATGATGCTTGTATATAATATATTATAATATTACAATTGGATTCATAAGGATCAGACTGGTAGCCGATGTGGTAAACATACCCAAAATCTCTGGAACACCCATGCTTTCTTCGGAAAATCGTGGCGAGGCTCCCAGGTGTTGAGCTTCTTCCCCTGGGCCGATCGGACGGCAAGAACTGGACCAAAAAACGAAGGAATCGAAGACTCTCAGAGATACTCTCCAGTAAATTAACATAGACCCTGGCAGATAGGGGTTGGAAGATTAGTTTCCACTAAAAATTGGTGATTTTCAGGGTCTATGTTAATTTACCAGAGGGTAACCATCGCGAAACACCTGGTAAACCAAGTCATTTTTACCATTCTCAATTTCTGGAAATGGCTAAAATGAATTGTGAATTACAATTCACCCCCGAATGATCCCACATGGGAGGTTGATTGTCCGGGTTTACCAGATAAGAAAAACTGCCAGAAATTGGCATCTACCACACACACACACACAAATACGGGCATATGATGTAACATAATTAGTATAACCAACACAAGTGGAAATAAATAGAACAACAAACAAGACATTTGCGGGCATGAAACACCAACACATGGAAAGAAAGGCGAAATAGATGGAAAGACAGGGGACACATGCCCAGCCACATCAAGTTCAGGCCGCGTTTCGTCCCTGCACTTACCTCCGTAAATTCCTTGTCATATTTTGTCAGGTAGGTTCGCAAATGCAGTTTTCAAAAGCTCCAAACGTTGATTCCAAAACTATTGATATCTGCAAAGATCTCCTGTCAGGCAGCTCAACATGCTGAGCCTGGCTACATCGGCATCACCAGTAGCCATAGCCATGGCACTATTCAATCACTTAGAAATAGATATCCTCAACCAGTAGAGATACCGTGAAAAAAGTTGGAAACCAGCAGATATCATCTACCCTCTGGTAATCTAACATAGCTATTAAAAATGGTCATTTATAGTTGATCTATCCATTAAAAATGGTGATTTTCCATAGTTATGTTAGTTTACCAGAGGGTACCCACAGTTATACCCGCATCTATTGGACTGGTATGTGATGCTCTTTGTTTTTTGAACCAAGTATCAACCGGTGACATGATAAAACCTTGAATAACAACACGGAATTCAACATGTTGCATCATTTTTCATGTCCACCAAACAAGTATGGACCCGTGCCTGTAGATTTCATTTTTTCCAGTGTGACAAAGGTGCAAAAAGAGGGAAACTACATCAACAAATTCTTTGAAACATCCACAATCATGTACCATCTGGTAATTTGACATAGCTATTGAAAATGGCCATTTATAGTGTATTTTCCCATTAAAAACGGTGATTTACCATAGTTATGTTAGTTTACCAGAGGGTACATCAACAAATTCTTTGAAACATTCACAATCATGTATGTTTTTAACTACCTACTAAAATTCTCAATGATTTCTTCGGAAATCATAATGGCACAAGTGTCGGCCGACCTTGTCTTTTTTTACCCAGTAGTCAGTTGGTTGAAATATCCTTTACATATTTGACACTCTTGGATTGAAACATGCGAAAAAATTGTCCTCTGCCTGATCTGTCAGAAATGGGTGATCAACCCATCCAAGCAAAAAACCTCTAACCAGCCAAGGTTGTGGTGAAGTCCTTGGTTATCCCTGTAAGTCATCACCATAAAGATCTAGATTTTAAATGCAAATCACGCCAATCGCCACACCCCATGGTTAACTAACATAGATGTGGAAAATCCATGAAAATCCACGATTTGTGGATCGTTTTCTCAAGGTTTTCTATGGCTTGTCCACATCTTTTTGTATGTTTACCCCAGAGTGTCCATATTTCTCCCCACTGCCAACGCAAGGGACCCCTGCCTTTCCCCAGGGCGGCAGGAAGAAAGCCCTCCGAAAAAACGTGGCAGTGAAGATGGGTCTGAACATGGGGGATTTAGCTCTCAGTCATGGTCATTTTGATACATTTCAATGGGGAAAACTAATGGGAACATTATATGAACTGATGATATGTTATACAATCCGATATATGTATATATATAATGTATTTCTCTCTCTATATATAATATACATATTATATTTATATTCCGAACATTTACATCAAACCATAGGGAAGATGCGGTTTCAAAGCCTCGGGATTCTTAGGGATCAACATCATGGAGCCATCCCCAAAAACTGGCACCCCAGGGCCCCAGGTAGGACATTTGAACCATTTTGGAACTTACCAAGCATTGAAAAACCATGAAACAACATGCTGAAAGCGGCCATTGGCGCGGGGGTTCCATGTCCGATTTGACTTGAGCATCGTAGATTCACCATTTCTGTCCGCATCTTGATTATCTCGATTGGGTTGGATTTCGCACCCGGTTTCCTCTGGAGGAATCGCCAACTGGAATGATATATCAGAGATCGTCATCTGTTTTCCTCATTTGGGGGTTCATGATGTTCCACAGCCACTTTGATTTTCAGAGTTGTTGACTGCACGAGATATAATTTTAGTATATCCACCGATCTGGGCAAATCCTAATGATTCCTCAAGAAGGGAAACACTGGTAGTATGTATGTATGTATATATATATATGTATATATATATACAGTACACCTATGAATCTGGGCAGATCAAAGTGATTGTACAATGGAAATAGAAAAAAATCAGAATGATTCCAAGATGCATGGGAAGTTGGTTGTGAAGTTGCGATCAGGAACACCCAAATACACCATATCCACATTTGCCTCCCACACACAAAATCAAATTAGCACCACCCTTCACCAAGGTATACCCATCATGATTTTGGCTATATCAATCTGTTCACACCAGTGCCATAAATTATGGTGATTGAATGATTAACATATAATAAAAATATATGAACATCACAATCATCACAACTAAACCGTACAAAACCACCATTTTTCATCATTTTGTCATCTTCTTGGGATCATCCCAGTCGAAAAACGTCGAGTAGCAGAGCCTCAAGAGCCCTGCCGCGCAGCAGAGTAGCAAAATGGTCCCCATGACATAGGTCCACCTCGAAAACGGGGCGGCAGCTTAGTTGAAGGCTATGTCTAGATTTTTTGCACCACGTTTTATTGGAACATCACTTAATTAAGTTAGAAAATCCATGAAAATCCCGAAGAATTGGAGCTAATTCTGATGATGTCCAATTTGCAAGAACATGCACTGGCAGTAGGAATTTATATAGAAACTCCTGACCTCTCCTGAAAATACTGGCAGTGAATGGGGCTTAGCGGCTAAAAAACCAGAAACTGCTGACATCTGCTGACAGTCAGCACTCCAAAATCCAGTTCTGCTTGGACCACAGCATCCATTTCTGGCAGCAGAACTGTTGTGTATACCCGAACCCGCGTGCGATGTATTCGAAACAAATTTTCTCCGGAAGAACAACAACCACATACTGTAAAATCACATAAATATACGCAGAAAGCAAAGAAGGAAAGAAAGCAACAAAGGCAAGACAGGAAGACATACACACAAAAGGGAGAGAGAGAGAGAGGGAGCGAAAGATAGGAAAAAAACATAGATCATCATAGATCAGCATAGATCATCATAGATCATCATAGATCATCATAGATCATCATAGATCATCATAGATCATCATAGATCATCATACACATGTCCTGTCATACGATCGACATCGATCAACGAATGAAGAACTCCTGCTGGGTGTCCCTGCCAGTTGAAAGAGCTACCTGGCAGGCTGGCAGCGCGGCGCACAGGAATCCTATGGTTTGTGTCCCCAAGTGAGACAAACAGCCATATCTGGGTAACCGATTCCAGGATATGCAATGTTATCTATGGATATACGTGATATCCGTAGTAAATCCCTTGCAAAGTCTGCTATATGTGTAATTGTTTCAGTGGGAGATCTGCTCAAAAAGAAGACCTGTCGGCCGTGTCTTCAAATCAGAGGGATCTAGCCGCTGCCTGCCATCTGTTCACTGGCTGGCTGGTGGTTTCAAACCCTCTGAAAGATATGAAAGTCAGTTGGGATTATGAAATTCCCAATATATGGAAAAATGAAACATGTTCCAAACCACCAACCAGCTGGATTTTTGATGTTTTTTTCGCATGTTCTTAGGACATAAATATGGAGAGTTTTACCATGTTTTTACCGAGAAACAGTCTGGTCACCTGAAATTGGGCTGTTGATAAACCATGGCCGTCCCCCCTTCACCCTGGGCAGGATGCCGCCTATGGAGGCTTCAAAGCCGTAAGGCTGATCCAGCTTCCTGCAGCACGATGTACAGTTGCGTTGCCATGGAAAGGTTGGAGTCAGAGAGATATTTTAGATTTTGGGGGTTTCTTAAAATGGGACCCCATGATTTTTGGGGTTTACTATGGTTTACTCATGCGCGATTGACATCAATTGATTGACAAATTAATTAGTCAATCAGCTTTTTTGATTAATCAACCAATTTATTCATGAACCCGAAAGACTTGGGGGGGTTCCCCACTCACAGATTTTTCTTGGGGGTCTACAATGAAATTTCTGGAGCCCAACAGAAGTCGGCCTGACAGTGACTGACCCGATGTCAAGGGACTTGTCATTCTTGTACCTCAGCTGACATGACATTTCTGGCTGAAGTTTTAGATCTTTTGAGGTCATTTTGACTCATGTTTCGGCATATTGATGATGTAGAAACACAGGATACGAATCAATTACAAGGAGGTGTAGTAACTACTAGTTCTTTCACCAAGCTAAAATGGTTGGTGACTTTGGGATAGATGGTTTGACTTATAATTTCTGGTGACGTCGTAGTTTGCGGTATGCTGTACCATGGTATACAGGGCTCCAGTGGCGAATCACCATGACTGGGCCAATTTTATGGTGGGCCAAGACACCAATTTCGGGTTTCCATCTCCTGCGCAAAACGGCGGCTATGCCGGCTATGCTGGGATGATCGTAACCCCAGGATCCATTGCATCTGGAACGGTTTTGTAAATCCCTGGATGTATCATGCGTTTATCCCGGGATATCTCCCTGTTCTTATCCCTCTTCTTATTCCATGTTTCAAATGTGTTCCAAAGGCTTGGTGAGGCCGCTGTTCTATCACCTGGTTTGCTCAAAAAGTAGCTCCTGAGTTACAGTTAAAACAAAAGGAAGAATATGCAAGAATGGTGGTAAAGCAATAGGATCCACCATCCCCAATTTTACCATAAATGGGTGCTATAAACCATCAACATATAGGTGGTTAATGACATTTCTTTACGAGCATTGTGGATGAATATTGATACTTGGCCAATCCCCGCAGCAACATCCTCACAACATGAGTTGGCACACAGTGATGTTTTTCCGGCTTTGTCTGAAAATCAGGTATCCCTGAAAATTTGCTTAAGATTAACATTACCATCTGCGGAACATACCCCCCAAAAAAAACAACACGATTTTCGTATGTTACTTGGGTATCTTCATTAACTGTCTCAATTAGAAACCGCCCAGTATATCAAGTTATATACAAAACCTACAAAGGGGATAGCTGTGATAGCTGCAGGATTTTTTCGGACCTCCGACCACGTGCCAGTTGTCAACCAATTCCTGTGCCTGTGGTGGATCTAGTCATGGAGATGTTAGGGGATCATAAGTTGGACCTAGAATTTTCAATTGACATGTTGAAAAACACCTCGTGAGACCCCTGGCCCAACCTACCCAACCTACAACACCGTGAAATACCCTGCAGTAAATTAACAGTTTGACCCTGAAAATCACCCATTTTTAGTGGTTTCACTCATCTTCCAACCCCGATGACTGGCAGGGTCGAACTGTTAATTTACTGGAGGGTAAATCCCAATTTAAACCACGGCAACTCTTCGTCTCTCCTGGATGATGGGAATTTCACAGCCTGGGGCACAGCCATCAGTGTGCACGGGCGCACGGGCTGTGAGGCTGGCCCTGGAGATCAATCACGGGACAGTAATTACGGCAACATATCAGGAAACTCTGACATACTCTTTCTGAATCTTTCTGAAACGTTTCGAAACTTCAACTTTGGCTCATGCATTCTACATTGCGTTTGCGATATTTCTGAAGCTTTTCTGCAAGGTAGATATTGAACGAGTTGAAATGGGTGCAAACCGCAAGTGATGAGCGACTCCCAATCATTTGACAATGCCAAACAAATCATGTCGTGGCTCAAAATGACCGAAATGCCCCGACCGAAGATCTTTCACAAGAGACGAGCTTCGTATCAAACATGAAGAGATTTTCACCGGTTCCCGGGGCTGATTCAACCAGAGATGGCGTCCCCGAAACAGCGAGCTTGTACATACTGGTTCTTGATATTTTCATGTCCATTTTTTCAGAAAATAAATCCTCCATGCCTGAACCACTGAACCACCACATATCAGACATCATATTGTTGATTGGTTGTCATATATCCCTGGGCTATCCCTTCAAATACACCCCTTCTTACTACTGGCGTACATAGTTTTTGTGGGGCCTAAATTTGGACCCTTTCGTTGCTGAGCTTGGCACTGCTGGCGTAGCACTTCTGCTGAAGGCCCGCCACCTTTACGGGTGAATCTTGGGGATGGCTCCGTCACAATTGTCACCCAGATCCATAAGTCAGAATCTTTGAGGATCTGGGTGCTCAATATATATATATATATGTATTAATTAAATAACAATATATTATATGATATCATATAATATTACGGGTAATATTATATTATATGATAATACATTATATTGTATTATATATGATAATACATTATATTGTATTATAATTATATTATATTATATTATGTTATGTTATATTATATTATATTATAAATTGACACTTTCCCACATTGGGTCATTGGGTTTGTAGTTTTTTGTCTGCAAGCATCGGGGTCTCCCTGGACCGACTCCTTGGGCCCCCTGGCCGTTTTCTCGGCTAACCTCAACCTGCAGCTCGTGTGAGGTGGCCTAAACCTCCCGATGGTTGGAATATCTTGGAATCCCAAGGCATTTCTCTTCGTATTGGAATGTATTGGAATCTATTGGAGATTGCAAAACCAAAAATGGAGAATAGCAACGGATAGCAACGGACACACCCAAGAAATATGGGGATAGAACCAGTCGTAGTTTGCACAAGGTGGTGCCTCCCAGTGAAATGAATTGATAGTTTATAAACCTGTTATCTGAGAATCTAGTTCGATATACCTACCATAAAACCTAGGCTAGCCTAGGCATAAACCAACTTTAGACCCGCAAATCAGCTGGTAGAACCTGCGAACAGGAAAATCAGCATGTTTAAGAGGTAAAACATCTATCAATGGGCCATGTTCCATAGCTATGTTAAATTACCAGGTACAGGAACCAGTTGTTTTGTTCAAATTTGCTGACGGACCAATTCTGTATATTGTATAACTTTTTTGAAACATGTAGGCATCCATTTTCAACTGCCTATCTCTGATTTTTTGAGGCTGAAGAACTTGTCTGATGGTGAAGTCGAAGTATCCAATGTTTGTCCGGTCTCCAAAAAACGACTCGCTGGACAATCGCCAGAACCAAACTCTTTTCGAGGCGCTACGCGACCAGAGTGCGCCTTTGGCTCATTGATTGGGAGCTTAGCCAATTTCTGATACGGTGATGGCTCAAAAATAGGGTAAACCATATTGTAAGCTTGAATTATGATTGAACTATCTGACATCAATTCATATCGTTATGAGGTGAAGATCTCACACACACACATTTTTGCGTAGCCTATATATACGTATATATATATAATTATGTATATATATATCATTATCATCATTAATTATTTTAAACATATATATGATTACATATATATATATATATATCATTATTTGTCTTCATTTTTCGGATCTCAAACCGTGAGGAACACAGTTAACACAGTTCCGTTCTGAATCACTGGCCCCATGGCCCCATGATCTCGCCCGAGGCGGCACCCTTCTCTCGTGGATCCAGGATTCCTTTTCATGTCCTCATCGCAGGGTCGATGCCCCGTTGAGACTGGATGACTGGATGCTTTTATATAACATTATATAACCAATATATAGCCCATCACCAAAAAAAACTGGTCAATCTTTTGAATTTGTAAACCTCACATTGAGGATGCTTATCATGATTACATATTCATGATTATTCATGATTGTTGTTCTTCTAGCTTTGTATAATCGTTGCAAATCCAGCATTATTTCGGACACGTGTTCCCAATGCTTCGTCTTAGCACTGCCCGCACGTAAGGCCATCAACGTCTGTTTTCATGGCAAACATAATTCTGTTAAAAAGTAGCGCACGCATATGCTTTGTGACTTCCAGTAACAAAACCTCCAACTTCCTTGGTTTGTGTAAGGCGCACTGGTGTAGTCACACCTTGTTTTACTGCTGATGTCTAGTCATGTGTGAGTTCAGCAGTGGTTGTTTGGGGGTTCTGTAGTGGGTTTGGATTTAAATTTAAAAACCTCCCACCCCACAGAGTTTCGTCGTTCTTCCCCAACGACTCATTCGATTTGAAGTGAACTTTGACCCCATCAAAAATAGTCAAAAATTGACGACGCCGTCACTTCTGATACCTTCTTGCCTGGGTATGACTTGTTCCCCATGGCAACAAACCAGCAGTCAAGCCATCCATAGCCATCCTTCACCGTTCAAACTTCCGGGAGCCCCGGGATCCCCGACCAAGTAGTAGACTTGTCCATGATAACCATCCTGAACCCCCCGCCAGGATGGTCCCAGAGGGGGTTCCCCGAGAACCCCTTGGAATCGATGCCACGGCTGGATTTCCTGAAGGGATGGATATTGGGTGATGAGTTTGGCCTCCCGAAATGGGGCAGCTGCTACAACCAGTTTGGTGGACATTTGATGATTTATGACCTTGACATTTCTCGTTTCACCGCATCTGCTGCAGGTTGTTTTCTAAGGCCAATCCCCTCTTTCAGGTGTGGAAGCGTGCTATTGAGACCCATATGGAGGAAAACAACAGGATGAAGCACGAAGCACAGCGTTTTAGGATCACACGCTGCACATGCATATTTTACGAAGCCATCGAGCAGATGATGAGGACTCAATGGGACTCACTTTCATCAACTTCAGAGAACCCAAAGTGAAATTTCCCACCTGACTACTTCAAACAAATCCCATCTGGTGTTGGAAGCTGCACCATGCACCGCAAAAATCTCCAATATCCGGGTTGGTAGTCGCATTCGGCAAACCATGGAGCAAGTGAGAATCTCCCGTTCGCGCCCCGGAACTGAGGTCAAGGGCTACTTGTGTGGTCTCGCACAAGTTCACGAAATTCTCGTAATTGGTCCACTTCATCTGTGGCGTTGGATTGGAAACCAATCTGAAGTGGAAAAAAACCCACTAAGTGTGTACATATAAGGGCCAAAAAAGGCATGTATGGAGCAAATATGCAGAGGCAACCAAACAAAAATAAGTATAGTAGATTGTTGTGTTTTACCAACATCGTGCTCTATACGCGTAATATACGCGTACACATATATTGATATATTAATGCAAACAACCAAATACTCATGCCATTAAACAAATACATTAGGAGAAAATACAATCACTCTCGAATACAAACAGTTTGGAGTTTCGATTGACGTTGACATGACCTGAAGAAAGAAGTGAAGAGACTTGAGGAATGATGTACTCCGGAGTTTTCTCAATGCACTTAAAACAGGATTCTGGTTGGTGGTATACCTACCCCTCCAAAAAATATGAAAGTCAGTTGGGATTGTGAAATTCCCAATATATGGAAAAATCCATTAAAATCCATTAAGCTCATTAAAATCCATTAAAATCCATTGATTAAACTCATTAAAATCCATAAATCCATTAAACCACTATAATCCATTCATGTTCCAGTCAGCACCAACCAGTCATCGCGCAGGGTGGTTCCCTCCATCACATCCCATGACATCCGACCACCGGACCCGCGCCTGGCAGGTACAAGTCTTCGTGGAGTTCACGCAGGTTTCGCAACTGGGAGGAACCCAGACTTTCGGAGATCATGGGAGGAGCTACCCACTGATATGAAATGTACAGAATCTGGTTATGACTAACGGTTTGCCATGGAACGATCCACCCATTTTTAAGAGGTAAACCATCTATTTCGATTAGGGCCATTTTCCATGGCTATGTCAAATAACCAGAGGGTATATAAATATATGGACTCATGTGGTAAGCAATTTTTAGCATCCCATTCACCATTCACCAACCACTTTTTGGCTTCGATTGAAATCATCCCATTTATTGGATCAGAACAATGTCATCACCAACAATAAACCTCTATTGGGGATGGTCTATTCCCTTACCACATTTACAACTCTTCTTTTTTAGCAAGCATGAAAATGGTAGGATGATCCACCATTAATGCTACAGCGGAACCACGAGCACAACTCCGGAAACGGCCAGTGCATAAAGTTAGATATTAATATATTAATATATTATTATTATTATTATTATATATTATTACTATTATTATTATCTATTACTATTATTAGTATTATTATCATTATTGGGGGTACTGTACCGAATTTGAACTGATAACACCTCAGTTCAGTATGGTTTTTCTTCTTGGCGAGCTATACCGGCACAGCATTCGAAGCCAGCTCTCTGGACCTTTCTCCCAGCTCCATATGCGGCTTCTCGTCGTTGGAAAATCGCCAAAATCAGTTCCAGGACTACCAAATCCTTGTTAGGTCTAAGGCCGAGGGTCTTAGCACATCCGAAAAATGTGGTTTTCTATGGCAATTAACAATTGGGGGGGGGTGGATTCTTTTAATTTCCCTGGAAATATGGCAGCCCCAAATCCGATGGTGGAACTTTTTATTTTCTCCATTATACATATTATAATGGTTAGTTTGGGGTAAATGCAATTTGAGAACAATCATATCAACCCCACTTTATCCCCATTTCATGATTGGTTTTAGACCTTCCTTTTCTAGTTCCAAATCACTGACTTTCCAACAACTCCCTTTACATTGCCAATCTTAGATACACTGCTTTCTTGTTGACGCTGGATAGTGTGTGACAGTGTATGTTCCTATCTATGGCTACAAGTATCATGTGTATAGTATATGTGTATATAAATATGGGTTTGTCTGAAAATAGGGTATATTCCCAATGAAATAGCCATTTAAAAACGGGATAATGATCAGCAAAACCATTGGGTAAAAAGGGGTACACGACATTTTCAGACACACCCAATATAACTATTGAACATGGCCCAGTCGAAATAGTTGATTTACCCAGCTATTAGCTATGTGTATAGTATATGTGTATATAAATATATATATATATAATGCAAATCCCATGCATATCCCAGTTAGTAGTTAAACCAGGACGTCAGTCCAGGTTCATCATCACATAGGGATGGAACAGATTTTTCGATGCCCGACACCGTGTCATCAGCTCCATGAAAAATTCCTGCCGTGTCATCCCTGCAGTAAAAACAGTAAAAATGGGAGGATTGAAAGGAACATTCATCGAACTACAGGTTTATAGCTCGGAAAATCATCCAACTAAATGGTGGCTTGTCCCGCTAGCCATGGAGCTGATGGAGCTGATGACACCCCAGTCCTTTGATCCAGGAATGGCAACCCCAGATACCATGGATGATGTTGGATGTTCCCTGGTAAATCGATGTATCATAGGGTAAACCAACATAGATGTGGAAAACCAATGGTGAAACCTTAGGAACATGACCTACTTTCATGGTGGGTTTTCCACATCTATCCCAGTCTACAGGGTAAAGTCTAGGTCTTGACTAAATCAAACAATGGCTAGTAGTCAAATTCTGGTCACCCCCTATGGCACTATGGGACCGCAACGAGCCACGAGCCACGAGCCCCGCAACGCCGATGCCAAGGTGCTTGGGACCCTCCACCACCTTTCTGCCGTGCAACACATCCTGATCCGGTGCTGTTGAGATCATGGCACAAAGGGGTTGGACAACAAGATCGTTTCAAGTCAGACATGGGAACATGTTTGATATCATATGATATCATTCTATGGTGTTTTATGTGCACTTATGTCATGTTTGATATCATTCTATGGTGTTTTATGTGCACTTATGATCACTTATGTCATGTGTGATTTCCTGCTGGGGTTTATGTGCACCATAATTTCAAGTGTGAAAAAGAGTGAGAATTCACTCATATCATCAGCTTGGTAAGTATCCGGCGGGAGGTATGGAAGTTTGGTCGTACCAAAATAGAGCGTACCGGGCAATTAGTTGCCTAGGATCCATAGTTGGTAATTGGACTATAACCCAGCAACATATACAATATGATATAATCAATATCTAACAAGAATATGGCATGGTAGAAAATGATATACTGTGAAACGATACTATCATATATGTCGTATATATTCACGTATACATCTTCACTTCTGGCAAATGGCAATGAGTTACAAAACACCTTTGTCAGAACTGACCCCATCATCTACTTCTTCACCCATCTTCACCGTACAGCCCCAAGTCCTTCCCCAGGATCTGCGTGAATTGCTTCTCGAATTGGATGCACGACAAGGGTTGCGACTGGCAGGTTACTGAAAATTGGAATCAACTTGGACAGGAATCAGACCCAGAAATTGGGGATTTTGGGGATAGAGCCACAATATATGGCCTTTCTAAGAACCCTAAATCATCCAAGCCTTTGATGACCGTGACTTAACAAATTCAAAGCCATGGCGACTGGGCGATTCCCCATTTTAAAGAAACCGCCATATATTTTTCTATCCCCAATACTGTGGAACTATTGCTAACTATTGGGATTCCTATTGGTTGCATTGGGATTTTATCCATGGGATTCTAAAAACTAATTTCCCAATGATTTCCTATGATCATTTCTCCATCATGGGAACTATTGCTAGATAATAATCCCATGGGATTCTAAAAACCAATTTTCCTATTTACCATCTGGTTATTTAACATAGCCATGGAAAATGGCCCATAGAAATAGATGGTTTACCTATTAAAAATGTGTGGATCTTTCCATGACAAACCGTTAAATAACCAGAGGGTAGTAATTTCTCCTCCATCTTTTTCCTCAATCAACAACTCCATCGGGAATTTGTATGCTTAATTCATTGATTCATCCATTGGTGAATCATCATTCCATAGCTATGGGGGTTTCCATAGCCATGGGGGTACCCCCAAAATGGATGGTTTATTTCATGGAAAATCCTAATCTAACATGATTTAAAATAGATGATAGCCAGGGGTACCCCCATGACTTAGGAAACCTCGCTTTTTTACAAGTACCATTGTGGGGCTGCCCACCGCCCCTTTTTCTCGCACCTGCGCAGGTGGCTTCAGGCAATGGTTCAAGGCGGCGGCGCCGGGAGCTTCGTAGCTGGAACCCTGGGGATGGCGATGGGTTGAAGCAACGAGACGGCGGTATCAAAAGTGAAAATACCAAATTGATGGCTGTTATATCATGATATAAAATATCAATGTTATATCATAGTATTCATATGTGTTCGATACATTAATACATTTCAAGATGACCGCTTAAATAACAATATCATGGGGAAAGAATGGGAACCATTCAAATTAAACATGATTATATAAACACATCCCAGAAACCATGGTAAAAAGCAGCCGATCAAAACTGCTACAAAAACTGGGACCGTCGGTCGGAATGGGGGTTTTCTGCGACAATTTTTTTCGCCGATGGGACCCCCCACCCTTCGATGTCATCAAACATGGCTGGGAAATCCCACCAAAATGGTTTTCTTTTTGTCGCTGGGAAAATCGGAAAAACCGAAATGATGGATTTTCCTGCCAGCCATGGAGCTGATTGATGGATGGTACTAATATATTGTCGTCTGAAAAAAGTGGTGTGGACCAAACAAGATCCGGCAGCATTTTTCGTGACAGGATTTCGGGGCTCGAACCGCTGCCTTTGGTTGAACCCACAGAAATTCTTTTATGAAATCAGACTCATAGAAGTTAAAAAAAATCAGCACTTGTAAGCTCCAAATGATTTTGCGAGAACCTATGATACACGGCTGCTGAGGGTGAGAGTCCGAGATGATTGAATTTTCTTCAGCCGCAAACTCATCTTCATGTCACAGAATATGACCAATTCACAGTTGTTGAGTGTTTGCAATCAAATTCCATTCAATAGGAAATACAACATCAAATAGTTTCAATATTCATTTTTCATGATCTCCGAAATTCATTCAAGAGTCTAGTTTGAACAGAGTCTAGGCAAATTATATTAATTCACTAACCTGAACAGTTCGGCCAATATTGGGATGATTCCCCCTAATCCGAACCATGATACCAGTGAGGGAGAACAGTGAGGTCACTATCATTTTCCCAGATATACATTATATATATATAAAATATGTATATATATACAATTATATGCACATCATTGTCATTCTTCATATATTCAGGTATGTGTTATATTCAAATCATTTCAACTCATTCAATATTTGAATACGTTTAACAATCATGGAAACCTCATTGAATAGCATGTTTTCATATGGCTATGAGTCAAAACCCTGGCACCCTAGGTACCCCAAAATAGCTGGTTAACGCATGTTTATTCCCCTAAATATCGGTAATAAATGGCAATAATAGGTTTTGACCCATCCCCATATGTTAATATATACTATTCATATATCTGGTTGGTGGTTTCAACCCCCCTGAAAAATATGAAAGTCAGATTGGATCATCATCCCAACTATTGGGGAAAATAACAAATGTTAAAAACCACCAACCAGATATCGTTTCAATAGATACTTTCCCTGTAGATTTGAAGCTCCGCTGATCATCACAGAGATCTCCCGCTGATAACCATCGGAGCCTGACATCCACTGGAACCAGATGGCGATTGTCGCGTGGCGTTCAGACCTGCCTAAGGGGAAACCACGCGCCGATGGAGAAATCTTCAGAGATTTTTTGAAGGAAAACATGTCTGGAGATATTGCTCCGTTTTTCATAATAAAAACTCAGGATTTTCCGTGCTATATATAAATATCATATACTATGTTACTATGTTCATCTATGTTCAGGAGTTTAACCATTACCACTTGAGAAGGTTCACCTTCAGCCACTCATTTCTTTTCGTGATCTTTTCATGGTACCTGAAATTCCAACATACTGTGGATGGTTGCGAAATCCTGCATCACCAAAAGGATGGTTGAAACCCCATAAGGGCATATTATGGGGCCCCATAAATCATGGGATGTTTACCACCTATTAACTGGTGCAGGATTTCGCTGGCCCATCCACCGAATGTTCCAAGATTTGGTCATGAAAAAAGTCTGCCCGCTGCTCAACAATCCATGCAGTCTGGTGCCAGAAGATTTACACCCTGGACTGCTATTCCCCTGGCAATTTTATTCGAATTACCATCTCACACTCTAAGGTGGCTTGGAAGAATTCCCCAGATCACTGCATGATTTTGGATGATTTTGGTACATTTTGGTATTCCACATATTGAATTTTTTTAAGCGCTTTCCAGAGGGTCACCGGGCCTTCGCCAGAAGCGTCAGCACACCTGGTCCAGTTTGCCCCGGCAGTGACATGTTGGATCAACACACTAGGGGATGAACCAGAACTGGTAATGTCAGGTTCAAGTACCCATAGGATCCATGTCTGCTATATATATATGGTAACATTTTACTATCAATATACCCCGGTCATGTTAGCATATATACCAGCGCCATGGATCCGTCATGGGGTATTGGATTGTGCAGAAATTTCTTGGAAAGTTCTGTTTGGGGGAATTACTCGGATGAATGAGGGAAACTAGTTACGAGAGGACCAAGATCTGTGGTTTGGTTTGAAAAGTTCATGGTGGACGCCCAACTGAAGCGTTGAGAATACAGTGGCTATGGCTCCAAACCATTCAAAACCCATAAACACAGCTGGTAAATATTAAAATAGCTGGGTAAATCATGGTAAATGGATGTTCTTTTCCCCCAAAAACATAGTATATAGGTATTGATCCATAGCCACTTAGACATACTGACATGCCAGTCGTGTTTGATCGTGTTTGCGGGGAAAGTGTCTGAAACTTCCTGCAGCGATAACAGGATTGAGTACCTCCTGGGTAAGCTCTCCTGACAATGGAACACCACCATTCAAGCATGGTGAAGGACTGGATGGTACTCAGTCTACAAGAAGTGTGGCAGCTGTCTTGAGCAACAGGATGCCACACGGCTTTGTCACGGTTTGGGCCATCCTAAATGGGATCCAGGTTCTTAAAGCCTAGCTAACAGCTTCGCTGTGGAAAAGCCTATTTGGAACGGGTCATTGAATCCTAAATCCTGGTTCCCAAAAAGCACATCAGCTGAGCCTCAGCTTCACTTCTTCTCTGTTTTCATAGGTTTTTGTAGAGTTTTTGTGGGCAAACAGGCTCCGGTAGTGGCGATATCTCAATTCTTGGCAAATTGTCCCATTGCTGACTTCCACCAATATTAGGGTAGCCTCTGGTAAACTGTTACATAACTATGGAAAGATCCACCATATCACCATTATTATAGCTGGGAAAATCAACTATTTCGACTGGGCCATTTTCAATAGCTTTTTGTATGTTTACCGGAGGGTAGCTACATCCTCATTGTGATTGCCTCCAATTTGTATTTGCTAGACATCGTCATCGTTTGCTTGAAGTTTCCATTTCCGCAAACGATTTCTCCAATTCCACTGGGTAGCTTCCGCAATAAAATAATGTTGAACATAGTGACGCCTTTCTGAACACCTGCTGAAAAAATATCTCACAATGAGTTTCACCACGTTTCACTGAATGTATCACCTATAATTACATCTACACCTACAGTACTTACACCTTGTTCATCTTCATTCTTTTGAGAAAAACAACAAACTGATCAACTTCTGATTTTGCTGATGCTTTTCTCATTTTTACACCCGATCTCTGCTGACTGCCGGACCTTCACGTCCCGCGGCATCAATCAGGTGCGTCACTGGAATTGCGAAGAAGATGTTCTGGCACGGTATGCCACGGCGGGGACTTTCATCGGCAAAAACCAGTGGATTCCACGCAAAAAAACCATGGGAGTTCTGCAAAAGTTGGGATTTGGGGATGGGTCAAAACCCTGTGCCCCTGGTGAACATCAAAATAGCTGGTAAATGGATGTTCATCCCCCTAAAAATGGTATGTATAGGTATTGATCCATAGCCATTTAAGCTTCAGAAACTGATGTTTGAGCACTTGAACATCGAGGTGTAAGTGTAACATAGTGTAACCAGCAACAAACACCGGCATTTCATCAGGACTCTCCACACCCATGAGGGGAAGAGAATTCCAATTTTCACTCATACCAAATGGAGAAACAACAGGAATCCTAGTGCACTGAGGAAAACATGTTTCCAGACATGTATAATATCACATCCCATGGCAAACATTGTCTGAACGTGTTGGACGACCCTTGGCAAGGCCAAGATACGACTTTCAGAGAGGAGATATAACCAAACCCAAAGTGCTAGTCATCGTGCTGATGTTCTTCCAATCTTTGCTTTGATGCGTGCTTTCATAAGTATGGTATCACTGTGTGAGCAATGTTGTTCATTGGTTAGTGGTCTGGAAGCCAGTTGGAGAAAAAACAACATGTTCGAATTCTCGCTGAATGATGAACCTGAGGAGTGAATAATGGAACTCTTTCCCCAGAACATGTTTTTTTTTTTTTTTTCCGGATGGGCAAATCAGCAGTTATTTTTGAGATGAAAACGCAGCTCCGGACTCCGGACCCTGTCCCTCGAAACCAAACGGATCACTTCCTCTACTACACTTATGGAGACCGACATCCAAACAATTTTGAAGGGGCATGAGCTGCCCCCATTGCTGAAATTTAGGCGAAGAACAAGAAAAAAGGATAGGAAAAAGGAAGGAACGAAGGAATGAGACAATGCATTCTCCCATGTTAACAAAGTCTATTGATCGAAGATCCTCTCCTTCATCCCCCATGAGCTCAACAAAGGGACATTATTTGGAATTGACATGATTCCAAAACATTTTTTAGATTCATGACATTTTTTCCTGGCAAGATTTGTTTTGGGACTCAACATTGATGACTCCCCAGTTGCCCTATACATGTCAATAGTTGAAAGTTTAAAAAAAAACACAAACAAGGAAAAAACAACATAAATCAATACCCGTATTTGTCTAAATTCACAAATTAAATGTGCTCAGTGAATGTGCATCAGACTCAGTTAACAGTTATATAACTGCATATATATCCCACATAGAACTGAGTAAACAACCAACGGTAGTGGAGGCGGCCCCGCCTTGTCCTTGTTGGCATCCAGGGCCTTCTGAACGCCCCAGGCCAAATTGGAGTTCCTGTGGATGCCAAAGTTCACGAATGGCTGAGCTGGGGCTTTCCGATTCGTCATGGGGGTACCCCCAGTTACCTGGTACGGTAAACATACAAACAGCTATTGCAAATGGCCATAGAAATAGCGGATTTTCCCATTAAAAATGGTGATTTTCCATAGTTATGTTAGTTTACCAGAGGGTATCATCCATTTGATGTTCGGATTTTCCATGAAATAAACCATCCAACTAGGAGATCCCCATTTCAGGAAACCCCCATTTGAACATGGAAAAATGAGGCTTTCAACCACTGGGTTAAACCGGTTAAATCGGTTAAACCACTTCTCAGACCCAACTCCATGAGCTTTGCGGGTTTCAAGTTTCAACTTCCTGACCCATTTGGGATCATGATCCATTTATTTGGGACCGACCAAAAAACACCACCAACCAGCAAAAATGATTGGTTATATCATCATTTTGCCGATTACCCCTAGTAAACATACAAAACATGTATGGAAATCATTTCTGGAATGTATATCATATAATACTATATCAATTCTATCAATCATATCCTGAACCCCCACGATTTCGTTGCTTGAAATCCGTGGTTCCCAGGAAGACGACTGAGGATCGGCCTGCCCTGCAAGTTCCGTTCGCTGCTGAGGGGGAGCCCCTGAGCCACTTCTGGAGCTTTCACGGGGCAAAAGTTCACAAGACAAAGCACCTCTAGATAGAACAGATATATATATATAAGCTGGTATATATGGCTATACAAATATAACAGGGTCTTACTGATATGGCATTATATGGCTATATAAATATAATAGGGTCTTACTGGGTTACGACATGTTACGACCATGCTTACGGGTTAATTAATACTAATACTATCTCAGATGAGCTTGATGATTTCAATCAAAATTAGCGACATTGGCATTGCAAAGTGGGGGTAACTAACGGTCTATATAGTGGTCTAGCCACCAAAAATGAGGGAATTCAACGAATCAAAGTAGGGCTTAAAGGCTCGATGGTGGCCACTAAAGTGTGGAATTGACCAACCAAAGTAGAGCAAAAACACGCTTTGGCCAGCAAACATATTGCTGGTTGGTGGTATACCTACCCCTCTGAAAAATATGAGTTCGTCAGTTGGGATATGATTATATATTCCCAATATATGGAAAAAACATGTTCCAAACCACCAACCAGATTGGATTTAACAAACCCAAATGTGGGCTAATTAGATAACCCGCGGGGATAGAACCAAGAAATTCATGGGACGAAACATGGGGATACCATGGGATACCAACGGATATCTGAGCGAAGTGGTGGCTTGTAGTCATCCTTGCAAGTGTCATAACACTGAAAGCCACCACTTCTCCATAGAATGTTTATTATATCTTAAATACATATATATATGTTAATAAGCACCACTGGTTCTAGAATGTGGTATTATATGTTTATATATTATAAACATATATAAACTGATGCTGGTATTGGTGTTTCACATCCCCTCTTGGAAAACACTTCCATCATGAAATCCTGTGGTTCATCCATGAAATCACCATGATTCATAGCCATGTTGAGGCATAATTGCAAAGATTTTTTCACCCGTTGAAAATTGCATACCCCTTTTTTGGATATATCTGATATATCAAGAACCAATTATATGCAAGAAGAATTGCTTTCTACTTCTGGATGGGGTGAGGGGTGAAATTGGGGTCTTGATATCATCTACCCTTCAGTAAACTGTACACGTAGATACAAACACCATCAAAATCCGCCATTTCCATGGATTTCTACTCTACAACTGACAATCCTATATCAATGGGATTTTAAGAAGAACATCATCAAACTACATGGTGTTTTTTTTTTCCAGCAAACCATGTTTGGTTTACATCTTGGGTATCCCCCATATGTTGAACAACCCCCAAAAAAACCACATGTTCATGAACCTGTAACAAAACTTCAATCAACCTTTCCTAGTGGATTTCCATGGCTTTTTGTACCTTTCCTAGTGGATTTCCATGGCTTTTTGTAGCTTGGCACCTTGGAAGTTCCCCCCAGATAGCTGGAGCGCCTTCATGCGCTCCACCAGGGTCTTCAGAGTCAGCAGGTCGCCGCACTTCATCACTTGCTCCATCGTTTCCTCTGAGGGTTGGAAAGGGAGACCTTTTCACAGGCGGAATCTGGCTTTAGAATGCTTTAGACATGTGGAATCATGTGGATATCTTTAGGCATATGGATATGAGATGATATGGGACATTTGATTCAAAATGAGAAGATGCCCAATGCCCAAATCATCAAACTTCAAACATATATTTTGTTTGAATAAGAATGCACTTTCCAACCCAAACTGGCCAAGCTCAATCACAACTTTTCTACACCTGAGATCGCTGGCACAGGAATGCTTTCCCACACAGATATCAACCATAACCACAAGGTGGCCCCCCCCAGATAGCTAAGCTAGTTTATAACTGTAGCTTGTCCACCTATAGTATGAATGGTTTATAAACAACCAAACATAAGTTGGGGGGGTAGCACCTTGTAGACATAACTTCTGGGGTGGCCAAGCTTTCCCAATCACTCTGGTCTCATTGCAGAGTCTCCCGATCATTCACCCTTGGCTCGTGTCCCTTTCGGGGTTTAATTGACCACCATCAGCCAACAATCAGGGCTTACATGGGCTTACTACCCATCTAATTATTCAAGTAGGGGCAATCTCTTCTCAGGCCTGAACTAACCATCCCCAAGCCTGATTTTCGGGATTATGAAACTCCTCTTGGTTTTGGGGGGGCCCTTTAGGGAGATACGAATACCCACAAATGTTGACAACAAAAGCAGTTTGATCTCACCGATAATCGCGCTAGGTCTTGTTTACCAAGTTAATATGTACAGGATACCATTCATGGATTATTCAATTTATGACATGACATTATATTAAACTTACAGTGTATAATACTGTAGTATCATGATTTGCGTACTGTGAAAAATAGGAAGTCACAGCAATCAACCAGTGCATCATCATCCCATTTCTAGGGTTTGCCTGAAAATCGGCGAAAAAAACCCTGAAAAAAAACCCTGGTCGATCATCACGACTTCCCCATACCAAAAAAAGATGGCCAATCTTTGAATTGTCAATCTTAGATGGGCCAAAAAACCCTTTGTCTTTGCTGGTTAGTATATACATGTATCCCATGGTATCCCCATAGAAACAGTACTGAATATGCTCATCCAAGATTTGACCAGTGGCATCCCCATTCGACAACCCCCGAAACGGCGCATTCGCGGTCCCGATTGTCAGAGATATTGGCGATGCCCTGCTGGTTGAAGTGATCTGTCATGTACCTGGACGACAGGCAACCAAGGCTAGACTATCTGTGACTATCTCTAACTATGATCCTTGCGTCATGACATGTCATGACAAACATGTAGCATCCGGATTCTTCAACGGCGTTTCTTTTTGTGGGTCGTAGAAGCTTTGCATTCATGCCACACCTGGACTGAGACTTACCCCAGAGACCTGGTGGTGATCGCGCACGTGGCAAGCTCTTGGTCCTCCGCCACAGTGTTGCCCTGTAAGACCTAGTGGGCAGTTCTGCCACCGATGAAAGCCCTTTGTGGATTAAAACATGGGCTTAAGATTGGTATTTTTTCATGATTTAACGGGGTTTTATAGGATTTCAACTGGGGCTTTTTTCGGATTTATAGCTTTTAAAAAATGACTATAGACCCTCTGGTAGTCTAACAGTTGGCGAAAATGAATGATGGCCTGTAAGAGACGATTGACCTATAACCTTGTTGTTTTCGATGGCTATGTTGGATTACCAGAGGGTACAAGTACCAAGAAACTTGGTTGGCTGGTCGTTTCATCCCTTGAAAAACCAGGACAGTTAGTTGGGATGCCAAATATGTCTGTTGGAGGATCATCATCTGGTAAACTAACATAGCTATGGTATAGATGGCCCATTTTATAGATGGTTTACCTATTAAAAATGGTGATGTTCTGTAGCTATGTTAAATTACCAGAGGGTATATAGTAAGTTGGATAATAACCCACTTATGCATGGAACATAGCCATAGTTACGGGACTAACCAAAGTAGAAAATAAACATATTTCAAACCAGCACCCAGATTGCGGAGACAGGCATTCATTTCTATCTTAGCGTCACTAAAGAACAACGAACAGACATTTGCATTTATTTCTAAGTATATAGATTTGATGGAAATTCATTAGTTTCTATTCATCTTCATCTTAGATAAATTCACCACAGATTTCAGATGGGTCAAGTGGCTTCGGAAGCCATATATTTTGGCGATCAGAAGAAGGATCTGTGGTTTCCCGGTGTTCGGATGGGAGGGGTGCTTGCGAAACAGTCTCCTACAAAAAAGCGGATCGATATTGACACGAAGCTGCGAAGCTTAAGAGCTTCCAAAATACATCCCCTCTTTTTGGTTAACAAAACACCGTTATTCGATTTGCAAATCACTAGAGTCATGGCCGAGCTGTTTTGGTGTAGGAGCAAGGCTCTCTCGGGGCAGGTCCATGGGAACCCTAAATGGGTTATGTCATAATCCTCAATAAAGCAGGTTGGTAACCGATATGAGCCCATCAACATTAGTTACCCTCTGGTAAACAAACAGTTTGCGACATTGAACATGGCCATAGTTAAATCGTTGATTTACCCATTAAATGGCCATTTATGGTTGATTTCCCATCGTTTTTTTTAATGTTTACCAGAGGGTAATCATCAACCAGCTATCATAGATATCGACCTCCCGTTCAAGCTCTTGGTTCTCAAAAACACCCACCATTTCATGGGTGCATAAACACCTGTCGATTAAAATGCGATATCATCACATACCTAATTCTCTCTCTCCCTCTCTATATAGATAGATATAAAATTTTTATATCCCATGAATTCCCATTAAAGTATCCATGACACTCGGCTAATCAAACATTGCAATGGACAATTTTCCCCATTTAGTTTGATGATTTTCCAAGCTATGAACCCCATTGGAACTAGGATTTTCAACTACCACATTACCAAAAGGGTAATCTTATATTATATATGATATACCCAAGTTTATACCCTCTTAAACCCTATTATGATTCCCATAGTGGTAAACCCAATGTCATGAACCATAGGCAAAGTCACCATGTTTGTGGGTTGTATGCTTACCATCCCCAGTCATGGGAGTTGTAGCCTTGGGTTGGCCACATTCCATGCATATCATTGAATAAAATCATTTGAATATCCAAACATATCCACAATAACAAGACATACTGTGGATGGTTGCGAGCTCCTGCACCAGTTGATACCATCCTTTTGGTGGTGCAGGATTTCGCAACCATCCACAGTAGACCTAAAATTGGGGTTACCAAAATTAATCATCCATTTTGCCATCCATTTTACTAGATTTTTTTCATAGATTTTCCATTTTTTCACCATCCATTTTGGGGACTCCACACCTATGGAAGCCCCGATAGAAACCCGAAGGAAACCCACCCTGGGGATGTCGAAACTTCGCCTGGCACTCCACACTGATATCCTCCAGACCTGGCTGGAAGGCGCTATGGCCCAGCTATGGCGTTTCCAAATTTGTGGTACCCCAAAATGGGTAATTTATATGGACAATTTTGTGAAAAATAGATGATTTGGGGTAGCCCTATTTTTGGAAACCTTAAAATTTATACTGGATTCACCTATGAAAATGCTGTCCATAGCTATGTTGACCAGGAAAACCACAATTGGTTTGAATTATGCTTTGTGAATACATTCTAATCATACTTTGGAAGCACAAAACATTGGCTTATGGTGCTAAAGGCAGGGAATGGGGGAATGATCCAATCCAGAACTACTTTCACAATCATCCCATCTCCTCATTGCCTATTAAGCACAGGGAAGAATACTTACTTGGATCAATGATTTCTATTGATTTTATAGTATATATACGTATAATATATATATATATGTATGTATATCTATATATACAGATATATATATATATATGTATGTGTATATATATATATGTACATATGTATATACATATATATATATATATATGTAGTTTGTTTTTGACAATATCCACATATTTGCATGATTTCGAGATTGTGGATGCTTCATCAGCCTTGAGAACATAGATAGGTTTTCAGGGACAACACAGGGGATACAACCCTGAAACAAAATATAAGAAACAAACAACCATGCCGGTCTTATCTTCTTTGGAGATCTTTGGAGCAGATAAAAAGAGGATGTACAGAGATAAGACCTTCAATCTGCAATCACTGCGTGCTTTGCTGTAGGAAATCGGAAGGAAACCGTTTTTTCTTTTTTTTTACCATGCAAAGTTTTGCGGACAACTTTCAGACACCCAAGAAAGACACGTTGGACTTTTGTTTTTCCGTTCTACCTTTTTTGAGTTCCATTCTGCAGTTTTGATTTTTCTTGGGTGCATTACCAAGACGGTTCTATCATTGGGTATCCCATATTGGGTGCTGCATTGGCCACAGGGTTGGACTTGTCAGCACAGAATGCCAAGTATGGAGAAATTGGGGATATCATTATATCATGCTGTCTGATTCACCAAATCTAAAATTCCTAAGAGGTACAGTATCCTCCAAGCGTCCAAGACCAACTAAACTTCGATTCATTGGCGACCTGCCACCACCATTGGTTTCGGAGCTTCGACTGGCTGTTGCCAATTTTGGTCTCTAGGAGGAGACCGGTCTCGACCTGTTGAAGCTTGAGCTCACTGACCGTGCCATCGAGGTTCCCCAGGCCTCCAAATTCATTCGAAGGCCTCGCATAGCACTGATTTTTCTAGCGCTGCCAGGCCGAGTCGGCTGGCGCGGCTGGCACGGTCTTGCCAACAGCGCTGGATTTGGTTGGCATTTCGCTAGCGCTTGAGAGCCAATGGGGTCAATGCAACCAGAGGATTTCACCTAATTCGTCAAACATGGATGAAGAAAAGCAACCAGAAGAACAACCAACGCCTCAAACGGAAGAACATTTTCCATTTTTCCAAAACTGCTCCAAAACTTTCCAATTTACTCAAGTTAATCATTATTCATGTAAACATGGTCATTACTCATCTGGTAATCTAACATAGCTATTGAAAATGGCCATTTATAGTTGATTTACCCATTAAAAATGGTGGTTTTCCATAGCTATGTTAGTTTACCAGAGGGTAAATCATCATTTTCCCTATGAGAATGGCTATGTGTGGATATCCCGTAATTATATTTTTTGCCATGCAACAAAAAGGTCCAAAAAAGGAGGATTATCAACCAAAATGTTTCAGCCTGTGGTTTCATCCCTTTTTGTCTTGCCAAGAGTATTGAATTAGATTGGCATTATATATATATATAATATAGACTACAAAATATAGTGTATAAATGTGTATAATATGTGTATATATATATATATATCATATGTACATTGTATTACATACACTATATTACATACACTATATTACATTTTACATTGTGATTTTTATTTCTTTTGTACTATTTATTTACACGGTAGATGATATGAGATATGTGATACATGATATATATATATATATGTATGTATATGTATATATACAACATTATATATTATATGTATATGTATGTATATATATATATATATATATATGTAATTATATATAATTATATATACATATTATATTATATATTACAGATATGAAAAACACACACATTTTGGTTCCTTTACTTAGGTTCTTTACCATTGCTGGTCCCAAGATTTTTGTCGAAATAGATGTGCCTTTTGTTCCTCAGTAAGTCCCCCTAGATCTGGCGGTTTCTTCAAACTGCAACTAGCAAATTTGATGGGTAATCATATATAAAGGTTGCTTTAAATGATTGAAAACATCCTATTCACCCGATGGTTTAAATCAATGTATGCATTTCAATGGTCTTAATCAAATATCCACCATTTGGATGGTTTAAATGGATTCAATATCTGATTCCACAATTTCAAAGTCACTCAATCCGTGTTGATCCACCCAAAAAATCCCAAGAAACCACTGGCCGCCCATCTCGCCCATCTTCGGCCCCGACCGAAGATGGGCTTGCGCTGTCCCCACTGACGACGCAAAAAGCTCTCCATCGAAGGCTCGCCTCGCAGAAGCTGGAAAACCAGCTGAAAAATGTCCGCTTTACCATAGTTTACCATAGTTTACCATGGAATCCATGGCGATTTCGCATGCTGAAATATTTTTTTTAAAACTATACCATTAAAAATGTCTGGTTTACCATGGAAAATGCCAATTTCAGCATGAACAAGCAAACATTCACCAATACAGATATATCAAAATTAACGATCGAACATCAACATTTAGGCAACAAACACGGGGTAGTGCCCCTGAACGTTGGGGTTCAGTTGGTTTGGTTTGCGTCATTAATTGGACTTGCGGTGGAAATTATCGGGATAACACGACTGGGACAGCCCTTCCGGTCATTCGGAATTTACAACATTTTCGCACCTTGAGTACTGCGAGGGATGATGAGCAAAACTGGTTGGTGGTTTCAACCCCTCTGAAAAATGTTATTCAGTTGGGATGATTATTCGCAATATATGGAAAAAGAAAAACTGTTCCAAACCACCAACCAGAAAATTGTGTTATATCCTATCTGATCCTGGATTGAAACCACCAATGAATTATTCACTTTTGACATCTTTTGAACCCGATGCCGAAACAGGGCCTCCTGAGTCTCGGAAACTCAAAAACAATGTCAGTTTACAGAATCTTTATCAATTTAAACCCAGAATAACCATGATAACCAATTATATTAACCCACATTAACCAATATTCCCCAAAAAACCCTAAGAATTTCAAGTTTCTTTCTTTGAAAAAGCTGCGAGATTCTTCGGTGCACAGCAGCACCTGAATCGGTGCACCACAAGGGGTTGATGGCTTCGACACCTGACATCTGAACGAACACCAGGGAATTGAAACAAGAACTGGGGAGATTTCTATCACCAAATGGAGGTATATATACGTGTATATATATATATATGTATATATATATATGTATATATATATATACATATGTATATATATATATGTATATATATATATATATTGAAAAACGTATGCCCATCATCAATCATTTGCTTTTTCAAAGAATTGGGAGCTCCAGCAAGAATCGGGTGCAGTTCCAGCAAAGTAAACTTCGCTCACAGAGGATGTCACGATGGTTTATCACCATTAAAAAAACAACTGCAGCCCCAAGTCCGGTAAAATTTACCCAAAAAAACATCGCGCAGATCAAGTTCTTGACCCAAATTTTGAGGACGACAAAGTGGGTGCTATTGAAGCCATCTGTATAAATGATGATAATTCACTAAAATAGAGGTAAATAACGGTTCCATCTTCTTGAGGGTTACTATATACTGTGATTGAGTGCGGGTGACTACAGCTTCGGTCGGTATATACATGAAACTTTTCGCGTCGCTCGGCTCTTTCTTGTGCCATGGCAAAAAACTGGAGCAATGATTGGCGTTGGCCGCTGAACATGCAAGTGGTGAAGTTCATGTTCAGGGTTTACATGGATTGCCGCCATGCTGGTGTAGCAAAAACCCTCCCGCTCAGCTTGCAGGGTTGTTTTTTGGGATGATTCCCTCCGGTGCCAGTGACGTCACTGGAAGTGAGGTCTCTTAGATTTAGCAGATGCATCTCAAGATGCGATTTCCACATGTGGTGCTTTAACCATGAAAAAACATCAGGGATTTGAGATTCAAGCAAAACTAAGGGGACATATCATGGCTATGTAGTGGGTTTTTTTTTAGGGTATACAAGCAAGAATGGATAACAATGATCACACTGGGATCTATGGGGTTATGGTCATCCATCTCGTATTGAGAACCCAAAAATCATGGGTAGATAAATCCATACGGATCGACGGTTCCCTGGCCGAATCTCCAACTCATTTGACTATGACAACACCATAGGGCCCCTTTTAGGCCACATGGCATGCTTGAAATCTCCGGGGGTTTTTGGAGGTTCTTCCTGTTGAAAAATCCGCCGGTTTTTTCCTGTCGAAAATCCTGCTGGTTGAAGGCTATGGAATCACCCCATATCCAAGCAGCCCTACTTTTGTGGAAGAGGCTCAACAGCGTAGTGCCTCACTTTCCAGCGTCAAGGCAATGCGGTCCAAGGAGAGACAAACATATGGGTCTGTACAGGAATATATACTAGGGATATAATGGGATATATGTGTATATATATATATATACACTGGAATATCTTGTTGAATATTCTATTCTATGGTCTATCGGATAGTGTATAAATAGTCCATAGGAAACTATATAACCAACTTGACATGCATGGTGGATGTGTCCAAACATGGGGTACTTTATGGCAATTGCAACAGGGACAAGGGTGATTAACCAGTGGATGGAGTGGGACCCGTACCCAATTTTCAGACAAATCGCTCAACTAGATGCTTTTGCGTCTAACAGATCGGACCCTGTCAACCATGTGTTTTAGTCATTTTGAACCCGTATTACCCTAGGAACACTCTGCAAGAAGTGCGGTACTGCGCAGCCAATTTTGATCCATACCTATAGAGCAGAAGGCCAGCTTCACAACTTTGAAGCGGAGTCATCATCGTTAACCACTGGCGTTACTGGAACAAGCTGACCCCACTTACGAACGCCTAGACTGGTTGGTAGTTTCACCGAACATTGAAATTCCCGGTGATGAATTCGGATGATGTTCACTACCATCATCTTTCCCGATTTTCTTGGACCTGTCTACCGTTTCTCACATCAACTTTTTGAGGGGATATAAGCAAGTTTTCAATTTCCTCAAACATGTATTTCCCCAAATTTTCACCCCCTTGATGCTTGAGGATTCTCTGGATTTTCCATGGTCTTTCCACACCTCTGGATGTTTTCTCAGCCACTCCGACCCAACGTATAAAAGTGGTACAAAAGTGCATTTTCATCGCTGTATGTCAAAGGTAAAAAAATATGCAGATGAAAAACATGGAAATAGTACCCTCTGGTAAACTAACATAACTATGGAAAATCACCATTTCTAGTGAGTTTTCCCATGAAAAATGGTGATTTTCCATAGCTATTTTGACATAACCAGAGGGTACTGACCCGCACATCACAGGCAGATACCTTTTACGCTCAGTTTTTCCCGGTCCATGGAGTCCATAGAGTCAGATCGTGTCTCGCCAAGTGGCGATAGTTCGAGCTGTTGAGGTCCTTCACAGACCTAGGGAGGGGGCCATACCAGCTCTGCAATATATTTGAATATACAAATGAAATTCGATGTAATATATATATATATATGTAATATAAATATATACGTAATATATATAGTACAATATAATATAAGTATACATTATATACACATATATATATATAAGACATATATAAGTAATTATATATATATATGTATATATATATATATATATCATGTAAGTAATATACGTATACAAATGTACTATCTATACGTACAGGTATGTGTATGAACTGTATGTCTGCATGTAGATGTATGCACATGTAAAAAATATGTACACTACATATATTTATATACACATACACCTACACACATAATATAATATGTTTATATATATGATATATGATGTATGTATGTATGTATGTAGGTAGGTATGTAGGTAGGTAGGTAGGTAGGTAGGTATGTATTTATGTATGTATGTATGTATGTATGTGTATATATATATGTATATATATATATATGTATATATAATGTATACTATAACGTCTATGTTTGCGTACTATATATTTTCAGACTTGAAGACGTTTTCAGATGACAATTACATACAACTACCTTGTGATTTTTCCAGCGATGAAATCAACCGCAAAATTTACGGCTGGGGCTTCTCAAGGATGTGAATCAACATGTTGCCGGAAGTTGTTTGAGGTTGCTTTAAACAACTATTCATAATACAGTACTATATATAGATATGTATGTCTACAATGATTCTATTTGGATCGGAATAGCATGCAAGGGTGATAATTCAAATAGGCCTACTTGGAAAAAAGAGCACTGTAGCCCAAAATGCCAAAATCCAAGGGTTTATCACCAACAAATTACAGCTCCATCCTTCACGTATCAAAAGCTTGGCTATTACATTGTGACAAATTCAGGCTTATTTTCTCCTCCGTGCAAGGGCTCTGGGACAGCTGTCATCGGATGCTAAGCATGAGCATGTCAAGTAGGATCTGGACCTCGTATAAGTATCTGAACAGCTTATCGTCGTGTTCGTCTGTGCATGAGTTTTGTAAGTGGGCCAATAGAGAATAAAAGGCATTGCAGGGATTGACAAACTCATCTGACATAGCCGGACGTACGTATCATAAGCTCTTTCAGTGCGGAGTAAACCCAAAGTTGGTCGACTTCCTGGGTGGTTTCAACACCACGTGGCATTGCGGTTCCACCGGTGACCATCCCAAGCAGCGAAACCAACGGAAGTTGACCGCTGAAACGCCGGAAGGACCTGCCTGAAGCATCCTGTCCACAGGAATGACATCGTTCCATATCTCAATATCAATGGGAATTCCAGGATCCTAAAATGGAGGTACTGTACCATATAAGTCCATATTTTGGGGGTATATCCCCTTACATAGCCCTTACATAGGCCTTATATATGTTAGGTACCTCCAATTTAGGTTCCTGAAATGGCCATTGACAATATACCCCAAATGTTAGCATATATACCAGCACCATGGATCCTATGGGTATTGAGATTTGCCTCAAAAATCGCTTCGAACATCTGGCCCCGATATCGGTCCAATTGGAATGAGGGACTTCCTCACCATGCTCCAAGGTCCCTACGATTCCCTATGACTTTCCAACCAAGGCATTTTACCTCTCAAACTTGATATATCAACGGACTAATGACTAATGCAAAGGGAAATTTCGCAGCCATGGCTTTTACCACATCTGGCTATGAGTCAAAACCTGGGACCCTAGGTACCCTAAAATAGCTGGTTAATAGATGTTGATTCCCCCAAATATGGTAATAATAGGTTTGACCCACTCTCATATAAGGTTAGTCTGCAATTTTTCCAATAGAATCTTACTACTCTTCACCGCCGACTTAAAATGAAGATGCAGGACAAGGTGCGAGCTTTGCACGAACCTTGGATGGATGTCCGAAAGAGGGGACCATGTGAAAATCCATGGCTTTCATCATTGTTTTTCCATAAGCTTCTGGTCAGTCCAATTTCCTTGAGTCTGGGAAGCACTTGACGTAAATTCGAGTATATTGGTTCCCAAGTACATTGGATCCCAAGTTTTTGGGTGAAATACCAATTTTTGGTTACATAATGTCCATGTTATATAAAGTAAACTCCGCAATTTTTCTGGTTTCCGGACCTTTCAGGGTTTTGTCAACAGGGAAGACACACATCGCTGCTCATGGCAAGATATTTTCATGCAGGACCATGACGATCAACATTGGCCGTTGGCCCATTGGGTGCCAAGTAGCTCCCTGGCAGATTCTTTGCAAACGGGCTTGGCATAGGTGGTCAAATTTTGCAATGCGCCCTGGCGTTCGAAGAAACATCAGCCCCAGAACTGGGTGTTGAACTTCGATCATTTGGGGATGTTTTAACAAGGAGAATTCTAAACCGGATAAGTTTTAGTAGCTGGGTTCTTCCAAATAGTGACTCAACCAAAAATGAATGATTCAAAACTGGAAACGATGGAGTTTTCTCAACATTTTCTTCCGCCTCCCCCACGTTTGATCCAGCCACTGCTGGTTGGGTGATCGTCAATCAGTCACTGCCATTTCACCATGGAGTGCACGTGAAAAAAATACGTGAAACAATGGGGATCAAAGGTTAATGACATTCTTCTGCAAGGTGCTTCCCCAGTTTGTAAACCACATTCTGTATCATTATGTATAGATATTTCATGATATTTCTACCACAAACCGCAACCTAGTCATAAACCAACGTTGGGACACGTCTCACGTTCGAAGTGTTGAGATCTGGATGCTAATGGGGTTCGGTTAAGCCAACTGGGCCAACTGGGAGATCTTCAGCCGCAACCATTGGATGTTCCCAGGGGGTTAAGATCCCAAGGTTCTTCAAAACACTAGTTCTGAAAACGGGTTGCCAGGTCATATTCACCAAGTGCTGGAGTGCGGTGCTATTCACCTTGCCAATTTGGGCCGAAGCGACTTGAAACTACGGGTTTCCAACAATTCTTGGGGTTCTAAAAATTGGCTTTCCAACACGAGTCTGTCTGGTGTATCCCCAAATTTCATGGTGGATCATCATTTTCCCGCGTCAAAACGGCCGTGAAACACACGTCACATGTCTCTTCAAGACCTGCGTCTTCAACTCACTGGACAAGGGTGCTGGGAGCTTAGAAAACTAAATAAAGCTAAAAGCAACAAGAAGGAGTGCCCCTTTGGCGGCCCAAAAGTGTTTTTTTTGCTTTCTTTTGGCTTTTTTTGAAGTTGTTTTTTCTTTAATTTTTTTCTAGCTTCCAAATTCCAGTTCCAAATTGTTTGAAGCGACACCTCTTGAAGAGGCATGCCATATGATCGTATGATATACCATAGAATTTCACAGCCGCCAATATACCCCACTAACAGATCCTGTCAATTCTCTGCATATCATGCTTGGTCCTATTGCTCTATCAACTACCACCCAAGCATTCCCAGATCCGGGTTTAGTTTAGCGTTATTTTTTTTTCTCTTACTTCAAACACCTTCTGAGACTGTGCTTGGGGTGGTTTTTTAAGCGTCTATCTGGAGTGCTACGAGTAGGGAGGGCATTCTGTAAATCATCATGTATGTCATCATTCTCATTGTTATTATTCTATTATTGATATTATATAAATTATAATTCTCATTGTTATTATTATATTATTGATATTCTCATTGATATTATTGTATTGTTATTATTATTATATAAATATATGTATAACTATGAGCGTATCATTACCATAGGGGGAACCTGTTCATAGACATAGTTATGTGGTGGAACCCACCAGTGGTTTCCCTAGGAACATGATCTACTTTGATTTTGTGGGTAAACTCCACATCTTACAGGAGGGAATTTACTAGTGGATTAACATGGATTAATATGGATTACTCCACATCTTATATTTGTATTATCATCGTATCTAAGTATTTTGCTAGTGGATTAATATGGATTAATGTTATAAGATGTTATAAATACTATATCAAAGACAACAATTGGATTGATATGATTATATCCACGAAACATAACATTGGTATAGTAGGTATTTCACCAGGTAATCCAGCTATGATTAATCCACTGGATTATGCCTAAGCAACTATATCATTATATGAACTATATGATATTATATGTATTTATATATGTATGTAAGTGTTATTACTATTAGAATTCCCACCAAAACCCGATCCACTCCTTTTGCGGCACCTTTAGCGCTAGCAATTGACCTGTCGTCAATCGTTCGGCGATGGTGTCCTGGTGCGGTCATGGTTTTTTTTTCTCCGTTTTCGTAGCTACACCTGAGAGAAGTCATCATTTAATGGGATCCATGCAAGTTCATATATGTGGATATATATGGATATATAGCCATAATATATAGCTATACTTTTTGGGATTTTTGGGGTTGATGCAATGGAATTTAACAGAGGTTTGACATGTTTTTTTGATTTTTTATGGGGCTTAACAAGGGGTTAACGGGGGTTCAAAAGGATTTAACTTGATTTATATAAATGGTTCAGTCGGATTTAATATGGGATTCATAGGCTATTTTTCGGTTGTCTTGTCCTATGAACAATGACTCGTTTGTATATTGTTTACCTCATTAAACTTAGGAATGGAGGTTTCTCCGTAGCTATGTCAGGTTACCAAAGGGTACCCACCAATAATTGGCGGGAGTAGTGGTCTTTACTCTCCGGTAGTCAAACATGGCAATGGACAATTCCCCATTTGAGCAGTGTTCAAAATCCCTCTATCATTCCATTATACTGGTTGGTTTATACGGATTTCCCTATGGATTATTAGAATCCCCAATACATAGGGTAGTATAATCCCCGAACTAATCATCAACCAACAGGGGTTTTGAACACTGCTCATTTATAGTTGATTTTCCCATTTATACATCAATTTATAGGCTTGGGGGGGCTTTCCAGCCAGCCACGTTTGATTATCCGAGGGTTTTTCAATTTCAATGACCACCAGTGAAAAAAACAAACAGCGGCATTGCCATCTCCGTCCTTCTCGCGAGTGACTGGATAGTAATTACAATGCGCCTGTTGCTTGCCGCGGATTTGTCAATTTGTCAAATGATGGATGTTTGCAAAGCATATTTTTAAAAGATGGGATACGAAACGACACTAAATGATATCATAACCCAAAAGAAGGATGGGGTTTATCACTGAGTCTACCACATTGGGTTTGTCCTGGGGAAAAAATAACAAAACACGTGTCTTTTTTTTGTTTTGTAGCTCCTGGGGGGGTCAAGTGTCAAGGGGTTCCAACATGTTGTCCCTATTGCTGTGGTTGGCTGTCTCCTTCCCTGCTGACCGGGTCACCGAGATATCAATTGAGCACAAAAAGTAGCCAACGTATGTTCAGTTGAGCCATGAAAAAAATACCACTGTCGTGGTTGGCGTGTAAGTTAGTAGTCTAACCCATCAACAAGGGAATCACTTTCATGGCTGAATTTGACAATCATCTCCAATAGGGCTATCCAGGATATTTTCTGATGTTTCACGGTCAATTTCAACCCCAAGAAATCACTGCAAAATGAGCTATGGACAATGGTCATTTAGTTGGATGCTTTAACTTTAACTATTAATTCAACAGAGCTATGGACAATGGTCAATTTAATAATTTAGATCAATTTAGTTTGATGACTTAGCTATTCAAATTTGGTGATTTTCCAGTCAAAGGGATCCAGTCACGGGCGCCGGGAAAACATGCCAGGCGGGACCATGTAGTTTCCCACCCCTGTGACATTGCTCTTGTCGGCCTCGGGGCAACGAAGTCATCCAACAAAAAAAGAGCTGTTTCTTGAATTTGGGGACCTCCATTTTCTATGTGGTTTTTCGATGTTTTTCTTATAAAACCAAAAAGATACGCTGATTTTGGGGTACGATTTTGTGATTTCAGGATATCCCAGGAAGGATGCACAAGCCCAGGGGGCAATACCCGACATGGTAAACATACAAACAACGATGGAACATCATCATCTTTAATAGGTAAATCAACTATAAATGGGCCATTTTCAATAGCAACCTGCTAAATTACCAGAGGGCATATACGAATATAGTCCTAAACGAGCCGTAGATTTGAAAGCATCAAAGCCCTCGTCTCATAGGTGCCATTTTTTGGGCAGTTGTGACCATCCCATGCCATTCCTTTGACAGGCAAGAAAAAGCACTTGACCGAAACACAGAAGATGTCGCATACTTGATACACACGGTGAAGTGTTATGTCGTATTTCTTGGTGAGCCCCCAAACCCCTGACCAGTCCAGCACAGTCCCCCCTGCAGTGACTGGTTCAAAACCTCATTCCAAGAACCGTAAATTGCTGGCTCAATGGCAAGTCCCTTCGGCACATCAATTTTCAGATCGATGTACTTGGACCGCAGCCGCTCAATCTCTGACATCAACTGGTTCGGCATCCATGCCCTGACGTCATTCAGGGTGATCATTGCGCTCTCTTCCATCTTGATGCCCATCTTCACTTTGATGGCTTCTACGGTCATGACGGCGGCGTAGTAATCCATCGGTGAAGCCGCTGATAAGGTGCGGCTTACTGCGTTGCTCAACCAAGGCGCATTCGCAGTGGTAATTGGCTTGCTGAAATCTGATTCCCAGCCAAACGCTCTAAGCTTATGAGTTCCCCAGGCAGCCTGGTTCTGGAAACCTTCAAATTATTATTTAGTAACAAGGTGAGCAAAATAAAAGCAAAAGTAAATAGTGAAAAAATAGCGCACAACTATCCAGTACCTGGATCATCTACAGTACTTCCAACCTGACAAAATCGACCATTTGGAGATAATCACGCCTAGTAACATCTACTAACCATAATAATTTCCATCTCCAGAATCTTTGGGCCCCAGGGCCGTCCAAAATTTTTGTTCGCTGAGGGCACCAGCCAGTGAGCAACCCGTAGGGAAGTAGGCCACATCACAACACGCCAGGGCCTCCACAAAGTGGCCAGATAAGGATCTCTTCAATAGTGCTATATGAAGGATGTATCATATTTATGATATTTATGGATATTTATGGATGCAGTATGGTGAAGGTATAGGCGGTACAGATATAATGTAGATATGATTCGAATTGATTCGATATGGAGATGTTTACTACTCGTTCTGCGGCCGCTCCGGAAGCACACAACTCGATTCAGGAGGCAATCCATAAAGGGGAGATGTCACAAACTGCACCACGAAAAAACATATGAGACTACAACATGTGACAAGAAAGCATGTACATTTTCTAGTGACTCTAGTGGCATATCATGTACGTGCGTATTTCAAAGAAAATCCTGAATTGTGGTAGAATAATGTTTGTTTGATGTGCTGCATCCCCGTCTTTTCTCATCCTCATTTAAGGTCGGACATTTGCCAAACGCTGTCTGCTTTTCCGATAATCAAATGATCCAACCCAATGGGAACCCCATTGCTTTACAAAAAACACGTTGTCAAAGAGGTAGAAAATCAACTGACAACATTGTTGAGTCTGCCCGAAATTGGTGAAATTCACCAACCTGAAATATGCCCTCCTTTTGGGATGGTTTGCCACACCAACCACCATCTTTAATCTCTTCTTCCTATTGCTGAAACTCCCCCAAAATAAAAAAACAGGATTGGTCTGGCACTTCGGGTTTTTGTGGTTGGGCACAATCGGATTCTTAATTGTGGTAATTGAGAATCAACAGGAGAATAGGATGGTGAAACAATGGGTTCAACCTCCTATTAATAAAAATAGATTGCCACCTGGAGGTTTTTTATTAGGGTCCCATCTGACAAGTTTTATTTTTATTTTTATTTGTTGAGGTTTTCATTGGAATATTAGGGGAAAGCTTCGAAATCCAGTTTTGGGCAATATTTTGTATAGATTTTAATAAGGGATTTAATCAAATTTGAAATCGAGCTTTTATATTTATTATTAAGGTTTTTCATTGGAATATATATTAGGGGAAAGCTTTGAAATCCAGTTTTTGGCAATCATATTTTGTATAGATTTTAAACAGGGATTTAATCAACTTTGAAATCGAGCTTTTTTATTTTCATTAGGTTCGGTTGTTCATTGGAATATTAGGGGCAGCCTAATACAAAATATCCATAAATATCCCCTAAAAATAAACATAGATCACCGTGTTTAGGTCCTCGGATTTTCAGCACCCAAAAGGTCCATCCGCTGTGGGATGGAGTGATATTTGCCATGTACGTCGTACGTTTTGGATCCATGGGACGTACATCCCTTTTCACAGCCCCTCTTGGACATACTCATCCTGAAACAAAAATTGCTTCTATTGATTTTTCTTGTGCGTCAGGATATGCTGAAACAAAAATTGCGCCGCTATTGATCTCCTTGGACGTCTATGCTCAGCAAGCTCCTGAATTCCGCAGCACTCCGTGGGCAACGCTAGAGATCAGTTGTCTACCAGCAGATGATCCAGCTTTCTTGCGCATCATTTCCAAGGTCATTTCCATCGTCTGCAAGTAATTAGTCACGTCGGGGTGACATGCACTAAGTAAAGTGCCTCACTGAGTGATTTTGCCAACCACAAAAATCTTACAACATCTTACAACCATTTACAACCTGGGTATGGATCAATACCTATTAATACCATTTTTAGTGGGATGAACATCCATTTACCAGCTATTTTGATGTTCACCAGGGGTACAAGGTTTTGACACACTGCCACCTATCGTTTTTGGGGCAAAAAAAAACAACACATTGTAAGATCGCAAAATGAAACCAGTGGCAAACGACTGACCGAGCAGCGCCTCTGCCATAGGACCTCCCTCCAGGGGTGGACCCTTGCTGGATGGGAGGTTGTAGATCCCCGCCTCGGTCGGAGTCAATGGACCATTTCTATGGCGATTTCAAGGCCCCCAAAGATTTGGGGATGGGTCAAAACCCTGGTACCTAGTGAACATCAAAATAGCTGGTAAATGGATGTTCATCCCACTAAAAATGTATCTATAGGTATTGACCCATATCCATTTCTTTATCATTGGCCAAAACCCCATTGGTTCACCATGGTTGTGACCTCCATAAGTTGAGTATGAATGAGTATGATTCGTATTAATCGTCACTAAAGCGCCTGGGTTTTCGGACCTATAGGGTCCTAGGGTCCTAGGTTGTATCATGCAATCTCCTGAATCCCTTCAGCCGTTCATTTTTTAGACATCCAGAAACTATGGCAACTAGTAGGGGAGGCAACAAATAGATCTCTACGGAGCCAGTCAGGGGTGTTCAATATGAGGAGGATAGGATTAGTAACCACTTGCCACTGTATCATCCGTATCTCTAGGTCCTCTGGAATCTCTCGAATACATCACCCACATAGACATATATGCACATTCTCATCTTTGTTGATGTCAACCACGGATTGATAAACCCTAAGTTATCAATAATTGCTCCCCACAGTCACAAATTACCGAAATTGAATGTCAAAGGGTCACCTCAATAACAATGAAGATGAATGATTTGATTGGCGGCCTGAGACTGATACTCCCTTGCTGATACCAATCCCATCCCATGGATGGTGATGGTTGTCAGTCAGCTACATCCACTGGGATTCTCCGGAACGCACCCGCAGGACATCTGTGTATGCGCCTTCTGCTTTTCCAAGGTTTCGGCCACACCCTATGAATGGAATATGAGTCACAATCAAATTATCGATTGATATTGGTAAAACTTCTGGAAATCATAAACCTAGAAGTTCCATAAGTATTACCCATAAATGAACGATTCCTTGGAAACTGGGAACACCTCTCAGTCTGAGTGCCAAACAATGTAAGCGAAGCGAGGTCCCTGGCGGATCTATTCGATGGTCAAATTTTGGGGTACCATGAGGTGATCCTAAAACTCACAGAGATATCCGACAACCCCATGGGTTTTACCCTCTGGTAAACTAACATAGCTATTGAACATGGCCATTTATAGTTGATTTAACCACAAACAATGGTGGTTCTCTTTAGGTTTTTTGTATGTTTACCATCAGGTGACTATCCGAAAAAATCACAGAGAAATTTGGCAACCCAAATAGGGTTTTCACCAAATCATCTGGAGATTTTTGTCTATATTTCTAAGCCTTACCCTCCAGTAAAGTTTCTCATAGATATGGACAATAAAAATGGTTCCAACATGTTCCAACCAAAGGACACTCCTTGACTTTTCTGGTGGTTGGCCTTCAGCCCGTGGATGCTTTACTAGGTGGTTGAGTCAGCCAAAAGGGATGCTTTACTAGGTGGTTGAGGAAAACCCATGGCCACCAAAAGAAACCGTGCCTATGGGTGTATATATATATATATACATACACCATTCAGTTGGTTGCAACCGTCCCATCGTACTTGTTGATACTGAGGTTTAATCCCCATGATAGAAGAATCCGCATTATCGGCAGCCAAACAATTTTTTAGTTCATCATCACTGGGGGTCTACTGGAGATCCTAAACTCCCCCAATCTGGGCAAACAAAAGGGATACCCTCCGGGTACCTCATCCAACATGATTAGTGTGGGGATTTCCCAGCGGCCTTGATTGATACACCTGTATCGGGTATCCCGTTAAACATTGCATTATATACATATGCATTCAATAAAATAGAGTAAAAGCAAAACTTTGAAGGTATTAATAACTCTTATTCTTACCAACTCTTCCTTTCACCCTCTACCTCCATTCAATATCCATTATTAACCCATAATTTTGTATAAATGACTATAAATGGATATCTAACTAAATTCAAAGTCCATGTTTCAGATGGTCCCTTCGCAGGAAGCATAGCGATCGCCCAGTTTTTCCGATCCATCCAGTGGGTCCACGAGTCCATGATGGTCACAACATGTCATGATTTCATGAGCCATCCAGATTTGAACCAGAATTCTTGTAATTAATGATATGGCTTAGTAATATCATGTAATATCCCATAGATATCCCAGAATGCCATAGTAGTTCTCATGGATCTTGTAATGCCATCTAGATAAAAACATGTCAGAATTCTTGTAATCATCTCCATTCATATCCCGTGATCACATAATGACATGATTTCATGATAATTATGATTTAGTACCATGAGCCATGGAATAATCATCTTTTTTCACATGATTTTTTCAAAAGTTTTTTTTTTCCCATGACGATCTCCATATGTTCATCTTCTTTTTTCACATCTTTTTTCACATGATAATTTCCATGATAATTTTTCCATATGTTCCATGATGGTTTCATATGGGGATGGGTCAAAACCTTGTACCCCTGGTGAACATCAAAATAGCTGGTAAATGGATGTTCATTCCCCTAAAAATGGTATTAATAGGTATTGATCCATACCCATATGATGATTTCACATGACGATTTCCACGTCGCCGAGTACAGGTAGCCTGATTGATCCTCCACACCAGAGGCATCGTAGAGCTGCAGGTCATCCCCGACACCGGCCTGATAGGAACAGTTGCCGGCCTTATGATATATTGGGGATATCATAGGTACAATGTGAGGCCCCCGTTCGATAGCTAAGTTGGTGCACATAACTCCAATAACTATGGTTTATGGTACTTATAACTATAGTTACTGGGGCTTATAAACAAACTTCTAACTGGGGGGCCTCACATTGTATGTTAGATTATTATGGGGATCTAATGATTATCATACGTATATGATCTCTGATAATGCTAGGATATTCTGAGAATATGATTCACTCTGGTTTGTGGTAGATGTATCTGTAGTATTCATGGGATTATATTTTATCAACTTATAGCTGGTGTCAATCATCAAGGAACTGGTTTATGATATTTATAAGTATAGTATTCATGGGGTGAAACTAAACCAACTTACATAACTGGGGGGCACCATCCTGGATGATATAATCATCCACACATCTTAAATGGTCACCGGTCCCAGTCATATGTGTTTATGTATATATATATGTATTATATGATATATATATAAATTTATCATATATATATATATTATATCCATATTAAAATACCCTACTACGTAAAGCGCGGTTTCTGGGGGGTGTCTAGTATGAACCGGCGGAAGGGATAAAGAAAGAAGGGGTGCTGGTCGTGAGGACAGGGTATCCCGACAATGGCGATGTAGTGGGCGATGTAAAAATGGATGATTAGCCTCTGGTAATTTTTAACAGTTCGCTATTGAAAATGGCCCAGTCGAAATAGTGGATTTACCCCAGCTAAAAACTGGTGGGATTTTCCATAGCAAACTGTAAACGTTTACCAGAGGGTACCCATCAGGGATGGGACATGATGGGCGATGCTTATGGGATGTTTCATCGACCCACATCACCACCAATTGCTATTAGGGTTACGCCGGTTACGCCCAACTTCTAAGCGTTCAAAGGTTCCGGACACTTCAGGCTCCAACCACCCAGAATAGTGGTCCAACAAGACGAGGAAAGCATTTGTGGATGGTCTACCGAAGCCTATGGTGATGACATGGGGATGGTTCAATGGTTTATCAATGGGCTTTCCACATTGAGCATGTATGAGCAACAGTCAGGTTCCAACATCCTATAGGTATCATTGGATCCTCAACGGGGGGGGTAAAACGAAGGCGAAATCAAGAAGTGAAATCACCAATTTCTTGACCTTGTAGGAAGCCTACAACCTACAATAGCTTGGAGCAACCCTGACAATTGTGATATATATATATATACATTGCCAATCTTAGATACCCTGCAAAAAATTAAATTCTTTGCTGGTTAGTAGATATTTCCATTAATACCAAAAGACTAGTTAGGATTAAAGTATCCACGTAAGATTGACCTAGTATATATTATATAAATGTAATAGTATACACATGAGTTGATGGAACGCAATATCTGGAATTATCTGGAACTCAGGGTCACCAACTTGGCATTGTCTGGGCGCCTCAGGGTCGCCAAGAAGGTGAGCACCTGGAAGGGACCCCCCGTTTTTTCCGGACGACGTCCGAAGTAGTGGGAATATCCATGGGGATATCAATAATCAGTGATTGGTATTAATCTTCAATCTGTCGGGGATTCTTTATGGGGAGAATTCTCTTAGTAGTGATTCGTCATGTGATTTTTAGATAGTTTTAGAGGATTTGCATCCGGTTCTTCAACATAGCAGTGGTCTAGATGACCCATTTAGTTCGATGATGATACACATGATGATTTACCCGTGAATTTCATACTGATCTTAAATTACGAGAGGGACATGTTTGAAACTGTTGTTGGAAATGGATCTGGGTAAATTATATTACCCTCTGGTGAACTAACAGTTTGCTATGGAAAATCACCATCTTTAATTTCGGCAAACTATTTCTATGGGTCATGGCTTCTATGTCACAAACTGTAACAACTTACCAGAGGGCGATTCAACAACCTGAAAAGGTCCGCTACATTGGGACTAACCATCATTACAGTGACCATGTGCTTTTGAGCCCCTGGGCTAACCATCAACTTTGATCGTTGAAACTGGCCATTTGGCAGAAAACTCGACCAGGTCCGAAGGTGAAAGCCGGAACTGGAACTCACCCAACGAGTTTGCTAATAACCTATACAACTGGGGTACCCTCTGGTAATTTGTTACAGTTTGCGACATAGAAAATGACCATTTATAGGGAATTTTCCCATTCAACATGGTGATTTTCCATAGTTATGTTAGTTTACCAGAGGGTAACCTATACGACTGGGGTATATTACTACGGTACCTACATTTAAATATACGGATATTTAAACAACGCAATAGGTATTTTATACTACCTCCGGGCAAGTTTTCTCTGGCCCGGCCAACCATCTTAAATATACGGAAGTTAACTATTTAAATATACGGAAAAAGGAGCTGCCGGCGACCGCTCCACCAGTTCAGTACCTGGTGCAAATGGCAAATGTCCACCGTTTCGATCCCCTCGCTTTCGTTCTTGATCAATGAAAACATCCTTGGCAAATGCTTTCGCATTAGTCAATAGTCTGTCTTTTATGGTATTGAGGTTGTACTGTACTATACGATTTTGGCTTTGGTGGAAATTCCTTTCATTAAAAATTCGAACTGGGTGGAAGCGCGTGGCTAGAAATTGCTTGCTTCTCTCTTTCTTGCAAGAAATGTCCTAGGTGGAGTTCCTGGGTGGAAGTTCCTTGCTTCTTGGGCGGAATTCCTAGATGAATTCCATAGGTGGAATTTCACGGGTGGTGGTGGAAGTTGCTTGTTTCCCTCTTTCTGCGGAAAAAAAACGGTGGGATTTTTTGGGGTGGGGTATCCTGGCTGGCAATTCCTTGCTTTCCTGTGTCTTGGGGAAAAATTGCCTAGGTGGACTTACCTGGCTAGAAATTGCTGGAATCTTCCTTCCTCAGCAAGACTTACCTGGGTGGAGTTTTGTGAGTGGAAATTCCTTAGTTCCCCGCTGTCTGGTTGCAAGTTACTTTGGTGGAGTTTCCTGGGTTGAAGTTCCTTGCAGTGCTCCTGCTCCTTCTTGGAGTCCTTTTTTGGAATTTAAGGGATTTGCTGGCTTCCCTCTTTCTGCAGAGAAATTTCCTAGGTGGAGTTTCTTGGGTGGGGTATCCTGGCTGGCAATTCCTTGCTTTCCTTTGTCTTGGGGAAAAATTGCCTAGGTGGACTTACCTGGCTAGAAAGTTCTGGAATCTTTCTTCCTCAGCAAGACTTACCTGGGTGGAGTTTTGTGAGTGGAAATTCCTTAGTTTCCCGTTGTCTGGTTGCAAGTTACTTAGGTGGAGTTTCCTGGGTGGAAGTTCCTTGCAGTGCTCCTGCTCCTTCTTGGAATTCCCTTTTGTGGAATTTAAGGGAGTTGCTGGCTTGCCTCTTTCTGCAGAGAAATTTCCTAGGTGGAGTTTCTGGGTGGGGTATCCTGGCTGGCAATTCTTTCCTTTTCTTTGTGTTGGGGAAAAATTGCCTAGGTGGACTTACCTGGCTAGAAATTGCTGGAATCTTCCTTCCTCAGCAAGACTTTCCTGGGTGGAGTTTTGTGAGTGGAAATTCCTTAGTTCCCCGCTGTCTGGTTGCAAGTTACTTAGGTGGAGTTTCCTGGGTTGAAGTTCCTTGCAGTGCTCCTGCTCCTTCTTGGAATTCCTTTTTTTGGAATTTAAGGGATTTGCTGGCTTCCCTCTTTCTGCAGAGAAATTTCCTAGGTGGAGTTTCTTGGGTGGGGTATCCTGGCTGGCAATTCCTTGCTTTCCTTTGTCTTGGGAAAAATTGCCTGGGTGGACTTACCTGGCTAGAAATTGCTGGAATCTTTCTTCCTCAGCAAGACTTACCTGGGTGGAGTTTTGTGAGTGGAAATTCCTTACTTAGTTTCCCGTTGTCTGGTTGCAAGTTAATTAGGTGGAGTTTCCTGGGTAAAAGTTCCTTGCAGTGCTCCTGCTCCTTCTTGGAATTCCCTTTTTGGAATTTAAGGGGTTTGCTGGCTTGCCTCTTTCTGCAGGGAAATTTCCTAGGTGGTGTTTCTGGGTGGGGTATCCTGGCTGGCAATTCTTTCCTTTTCTTTGTGTGGTGGAAAAATTGCCTAGGTGGACTTACCTGGCTAGAAATTGCTGGAATCTTTCTTCCTCAGCAAGACTTACCTGGGTGGAGTTTTGTGAGTGGAAATTCCTTAGTTAGTTTCCCGTTGTCTGGTTGCAAGTTAATTAGGTGGAGTTTCCTGGGTAAAAGTTCCTTGCTGTGCTCCTGCTCCTTCTTGGAATTCCCTTTTTGGAATTTAAGGGGTTTGCTGGCTTGCCTCTTTCTGCAGGGAAATTTCCTAGGTGGTGTTTCTTGGGTGGGGTATCCTGGCTGGCAATTCCTTGCTTTCCTTTGTCTTGGGGAAAAATTGCCTAGGTGGACTTACCTGGCTAGAAAGTGCTGGAATTTTTCTTCCACAGCAAGACTTCCTGGGTGGAGTTTTGTGAGTGGAAATTCCTTAGTTTCCCGTTGTCTGGTTGCAAGTTAATTAGGTGGAGTTTCCTGGGTGGAAGTTCCTTGCAGTGCTCCTGCTCCTTCTTGGAATTCCCTTTTCGGAATTTAAGATAATTTAAGGGATTTGCTGGCTTCCCTCTTTCTGCAGAGAAATAGGTGGAGTTTCTGGGTGGGGCATCCTGGCTGGCAATTCTTTCCTTTTCTTTGTCTTGGGGAAAAATTGCCTAGGTGGACTTACCTGGCTAGAAAGTGCTGGAATCTTTCTTCCTCAGCAAGACTTTCCTGGGTCGGGTTTTGTGAGTGGAAATTCCTTAGTTTCCCGTTGTCTGGTTGCAAGTTACTTAGGTGGAGTTTCCTGGTGGAAGTTCCTTGCAGTGCTCCTGCTCCTTCTTGGAATTCCTTCCTTTTTGGAATTTAAGGGATTTGCTGGCCTCCCTCTTTCTGCAGAGAAATTTCCTAGGTGGAGTTTCTGGGTGGGGTATCCTGGCTGGCAATTCTTTCCTTTTCTTTGTGTTGGGGAAAAATTGCCTAGGTGGACTTACCTGGCTAGAAAGTGCTGGAATCTTTCTTCCTCAGCAAGACTTACCTGGGTGGAGTTTTGTGAGTGGAAATTCCTTAGTTTCCCGTTGTGTGGTTGCAAGTTAATTAGGTGGAGTTTCCTGGGTGGAAGTTCCTTGCAGTGCTCCTGCTCCTTCTTGGAATTCCCTTTTTGGAATTTAAGGGATTTGCTGGCTTGCCTCTTTCTGCAGAGAAATTTCCTAGGTGGGGTTTCTTGGGTGGGGTATCCTGGCTGGCAATTCCTTGCTTTCCTTTGTCTCGGGGAAAAATTGCCTAGGTGGACTTACCTGGCTAGAAATTGCTGGAGTCTTTCTTCCTCAGCAAGACTTTCCTGGGTGGACTTTTGTGAGTGGAAATTCCTTAGTTTCCCGTTGTCTGGCTGCAAGTTAATTAGGTGGAGTTTCCTGGGTGGAAGTTCCTTGCAGTGCTCCTGCTGCTTCTTGGAATTCCCTTTTTGATTCCTTTTTGGAATTTAAGGGATTTGCTGGCCTCCCTCTTTCTCCAGAGAAATTTCCTAGGTGGAGTTTCTGGGTGGGGCATCCTGGCTGGCAATTCTTTCCTTTTCTTTGTGTTGGGGAAAAATTGCCTAGGTGGACTTACCTGGCTAGAAAGTGCTGGAATCTTTCTTCCTCAGCAAGACTTTCCTGGGTGGAGTTTTGTGAGTGGAAATTCCTTAGTTTCCCGTTGTGTGGTTGCAAGTTACTTAGGTGGAGTTTCCTGGGTGGAAGTTCCTTGCAGTGCTCCTGCTCCTTCTTGGAATTCCCCCTTTTTGGAATTTAAGGGATTTGCTGGCTTGCCTCTTTCTGCAGAGAAATTTCCTAGGTGGAGTTTCTGGGTGGGGCATCCTGGCTGGCAATTCTTTCCTTTTCTTTGTGTTGGGAACCAAATCCTAGGTGGAGTTTCCTGGGTGGGACATCCTGGCAGCTTGGCGTCGTTCTGGTGAAAATTTTCCGATAGGTGGAATTACCTGGCTAGAAATTGCTGGCGTCTTTCTTCATCGCCCAGACTCACTTGGAAAGGACCCTCGGGACACCGAGATGTTTCAAAACAATTGCTGGAAAGACCAAAAATGTGAAGCGCAGTACGGTGGCACAGAGGCTATATGTATCAGAGGATTAATGACTGCTATGTGTTCTTTATAGCCATTTATAACAACCATAAGTGGGCCCTTGTTGTGCCGTGCGATACTGGTGATATAAAATATCTTGGTGGAAACTTATGTGGAATCCTATGTGTAATTCTATGTGGAAGGGAATTGCACACTGAGCCGAGTCACTTCAGGGTATTCAAATTCCTTGGCAAACTGCGGAAATGAAGTTGTTGGAAAACTACGCTGGAAAACCATGGAAAAGCATTGGTGGAAAACCATGGAAACACCTTGTCAAAGGCACGGAAAAAAACGGTGGAACATCATGCAACATTATTTTGGGCGGAAACCCATGGACACACCCTGGTGGAAAACTTTTGG